ACTCCAACCTGGGCAACAGAGCAAGACCCTGTCTCTTAAAAATTTTTTTCTTGGCCAGGCATGGTGGCTCATGCCTGTAATCCCAGCACTTTGGGAGGCTGAGGTGGGTGGATCATGAGGTCAGGAGTTTGAGACCAGCCTAGCCAATATGAAACCTCTCCTTCTCTACTAAAAATACAAAAATTAGCTGGGTGTAGTGGTGTGCGCCTATGGTCCCAGCTACCAGCTACTCAGAAGGCTGAGGCAGAAGAACCATTTGAACCCAGGAGGCGGAGGTTGTGGTTAGCCTCCGGAGATAATGCAACTGCACTCCAGCCTGCGCAACAGAATGAGACTCAAAAAAAATAATAATAATAGTTTTTTTTCTTAAATTAGTATTGTATTTTTAAAAACAAATTTAAAGGAATCTTGTTACGTTGTGCAATCTGAAGTGCAGTGCTATTTACAGGTATAATTATAACTCACTTGCAGCCTTAAACTCAAGCAATCTACCAGCCTCAGCCTCCCTAGTAGCTGGGACTGCAGGTCACCGCACCCAGCTAAAATTATTCTTTTTCTTTCTTTTTTTAGAGACAAGGTCTCTTTATGTCGCCTAGGCTCATAGACTCAAGCAATACTCCTGCTTCAGCCTCCGGAGTAGCTAGGACTATAGGTGTGTGTGCCAGTGAGCCTGGCTAAAAATTAGGTTAGAACTAGGAACTTTGAAAAAAGGTTTGACGAAATCCTATTGAGAATAGACAACTTAGAGAGGAATATAAATGAATTAATGGAACTGAAGAATACAATACAGGAACTCCGAGAAGTATGCACAGGTTTAAACACTCAAATTGTTCAAGCAGAAGAAAGGATATCAGAGGTCAAAGTCCAACTTAATGAAAGAAAACAAGAAGACAAGATTAGAGATAAAAGGATAAAAAGGAATGAGCAAAGTCTCCAAGAAATGTGGGACTATGTGAAAAGACCAAATTTACGTTTGATAGGTGTACCTGAATGCGACGGAGAGAATGAATCCAAGCTGGAAAATACCCTTCAGGATATTATTCAGGAAAATTTTCCTAAACTAGCAAAGCAGGTCAACATTCAACCCCAGGTAATACAGAGAACACCACAAAGATATTCCTCAAGAAGAGCAACCCCAAGGCACATAATCGTTAGATTCACCAGGGTTGAAATGAAGGAGAAGATACTAAGGGCAGCCAGAGAGAAAGCTCAGATTACCCACAAAGGCAAGCCCATCAGACTTACAGCAGATCTCTCAGCAGAAACTCTACAAGCCAGAAGAGAGTGGGGGCCAATATTCAACATCCTCAAAGAACAGAACCTTCAGCCCAGAATTTCATATCCAGCCAAACTAAGCTTCACAACTGAAGGAAAAATAAAATCTTTTATGAACAAGCAAGTACTCAGAGATTTTATTACCACCAGGCCTGCTTTACAAGAGCTTCTGAAAGAAGCATTACACACAGAAAGAAACAACCAGTATTAGCCTTTCTAAAAATACACCAAAAAGTAAAGAGCACCAACATAAAGAAGAATTTACACCAACAAATGGATAAAACAGCCAGTCAACATCAAATGGCAGTAACCCTAAATTTAAATTGACTAAATTCCCAATCAAAAGACACAGCCAAAACCCAACGGCATGTTACATCCAGACCTGTTTCACATGCAAGGATACACAAAGACTCAAAACAAAGGGATGGAGAAAGATTTACCAACCAAATGGAGAGCAAAAATAAATAATAAATAAATAAAAAGCAGGAGTTGCAATTCTTGTATCGGATAAAATAGATTTTAAAGCAACAAAGTTATAGTGGTAAAAGGATCAATGCAACAACAAGAGCTAACGATCCTAACACCCAGATAGGAGACTTAGATTCAATGAGACAGAAAATTAATAAGGATATCAAGGACTCGAACTCAGATCCAGAACAAGTAAACTTAATAAATATTTATAGAGCTCTCCACTTCAATTACACAAAATATACATTCTTGTCAATACCACATCACACCTACCCATAAGTTTAAATGAAATATTGATTGGCCATTATTAATACCCAATTTTTTTTTCAAAATAAAGCAATATTTCCATTTACTCTCCCTCTTTCTCTTCCTCTTTCTTCCTCTCCTTTACTTATTATTATTATTTTTTCTTTCCTTCTCTAAAAAAAAAATCAACTTGTAAACCTCTAGATCCAGGTCGGCAATGTCTCTTTCATTGCTTGATTTCCTTTCTTCCCTTCCCTCCCTCCCTCCCTCCCCGCTTCCTCCCTTCCTTCCTTCCTTCATCCCTTCCTTCCTCCCTACCGTCCTTATTCCCTTCCTTCCTGCCTTCCTCCCCACCTCCCCCAAAAAAAAAAAAAAAAAAAATTTTAAATGTAAACATCAGCCAAACTTCAAATATAAATATTATTTTCAACTAACAAGGAAGTTTTAAAGTTAAAGATCTCTCCTTATTTTTTAAAGCATGCTATTTATAGAAGCATCTAACTACATACTGTGAAATTTAAATCTATATTCAAATTGATTGACCCTATTAATGTCCCTTAGGGTAGGGTAGGAGGAGTGAGTATAGGGAAGATTTTCTTATGATTGCTTTATTTAATGTTTTAAATTTTGTCTTCAAATTCAAGTGATCCAAATTGTGTCTCTTAATTTTATGATCTGTATGTAGATGAACCACTGGACTATCAGAAAACTGAGGTTGCAATAATAATAACTATTTGTGTCTATAAAGTAGTTTTACAACCATTATTTCGATCCTAATAGTAACATTTATTCATTCAGCAAAAATAAAAAAAATCATTGCCTATCCTAGTATCTGGAAATACACATTATTATGATTCCTGTTTTATAGAGGAGATGGAGGGAGACACTGGCTGACCACTCATGGAGCCTGGATTCCAGCCCAAGTAATGTGGCTTGAGTTCTGACTTAAGTCTGCTATTTCAACTAAGGGTCCTAACCTGCCTGTGATAATGTGATCCCTGAGGACCTGTTTCTTCAACAGCAAAATGAAATTGTTATATTCTTTAAACTTCAAGCTCCTTTCCAGCTTCAAAATCCTAAAACTCAGCCAGGAGTGGTGGCTCACGCTTGTAATCCTACTACTTTGGGAGGCTGAGGCTGGAGGATGGCTTGAGTTTAGGAGTTCAAGATCAGTCTGGGCAACATACTGAGACCTCCTCTGTACAAAAAATAAGAAAATTAGCTGGGGTGGCACCCACCTGTACACCCAACTGGTCAGGAGTCTGAGGTGGGAGAATCAATTGAGCCTGGGAAGTGGAGGTTGCAGTGAGCTGTGTTCTCACCATTGCACTGCAGCCTGGGTGACAGAGTGAGACCCTGTCTCAAAAAGAAAAAAAGAAAAAGAAAATCCTAAAATTTATCTCATTGATAATAGTAACAACAACAGAAACATAAAATAGGAGTAACACTAACTAGAAAAAAATGTAACTAGCCAGGCGTGGTGGCTCACGCCTGTAATCCCAGCACTTTGGGAGGCTGACGCAGATGGATCACAAGGTCAGGGGTTCAAGACCAGCCTGGCCAACATGGTGAAACCTCATGTTGGTGGGTGTGGTGGCATGCGCCTGTAATCCCAGCTACTTGGGAGGCTGAGGCAGGAGAATCACTTGAACCCAGGAGGTAGAGGTTGCGGTGAGCTGAAAGCCCGCACTCCAGCCTGGGCAGCAGAGTGAGACTCCATCTTAAAAAAAAAAGAAAAAGAAAAAAATATATGTAATTTAGATGGAAAAAAAATTTTAAAGTATAAAACTTTCCTGAAATGCTTTTAATGACTTGAATATACAGACTTGCATAAGGGGCTAATTTTCCATTCTCGTTTTATTCTTCAATTTCAGGTTCGTTAATAAATAGAATTGATAGAATGCTTCAGTGCTTGTGAAAATAAGTTTATTCCCGAAGTCTGAGTCATTAACAAATCTGCAGCCTCTCTCCTGTTACATATATATTTTGGTGGTGGTTGTTCCAAGGAATCCTTTGTCTTTTTAATTAGGGTAAAGACAGATGTATTTGGAAGAGACTTTACTTTGTTAAATGAAGAGACCCCTGCAGCTTTCTCTAGCTTGAAGCAGTCTTATGGGAGACTGGCATTTACATATTTTTTCCTTGGGGATGTGGCTATATTATTGTTACTGTGAAGTTATACTTGATTGGTCTGAATTGTGCAGCATTAGGAGTGATATTTCTGTCTTGAAAGCTCTATGTAACAGCTCATGAACACTTTTTCAAAAGAGGGAAAATTTATAGAGAAGACTGTCACAGTGAGTGTTTAGACAATGAGACTGACTGTTTTCAAACAAATCTAATTCATTACATGCCTGGTAATGAAGACATATTAATAACAGAGAAAGCAGCACCATTGTCTATGTGCTTCTATTAATCAGTTTATTTTGTTATATCAGTGGACAAGACACCATCTGTTACCAGAAATTTTCTTTTCATCAAGCCTGCCCCAATTAAGAGTCCTCAGTTAAATAACATCAGCTGCCCTCTTCTTTAATTTCCATAACTCAATTCAGGGGTATGGAGAGAAAAAGGCAGCTATAGGAGGATATTGTAAATTGCACCATGCCCTCTGAGGATTTAATTTCATCATCTCCTTGGCAAGAAAAATTAGTGGGAGGAGTTTATATATGTTGGAGAAAAAGAGTAAAGCGAAAGGGGCAGAACTAATGATAGATGAAATAGCTTTAAGAAAATTGTTTAGTAGTATTGAAAACAATTGGAGGGGGTAGATTTTTGGTGACTTTTTGTTTCCCCATGATATCTTTTTCTAAGTCATATTTTAATTGTTTAAATAGAGGTAGTGATGAGACCTGTTCCATAATAACCTACTTTCAGGACTAGGAAGTATATCTTACATACATAGTGGTATGTATATGTTCATGTGTTTTAAATACAATGAATATATAAATGTTACTGTAAAAGCTGACCCTATGACACTGAAAGAATTTTATGTTTTTATTCTATCAAAGGTCTATGACTCCAGCTCAGGCTGACTTGGAATTTCTTGAGAATGCCAAAAAGTTGTCTATGTATGGGGTTGATCTTCATAAAGCAAAGGTAATGATAACGTTGTCCTTTATTAATATCCTTGTATAAGACATTATATGATACATATCTGTTATGTATGTATCACATTTGTGTCATATAATACTTCTTACCAACAACTGGCGTATTTTATTAAAACATACAGAAGAGATACTAGATAGGCACAGCAGCTCATGCCTATAGTCTCAGCTACTCAGGAGGTTGAGGCAGGAGGATCACTTGAGTCCAGGAGGTTGAGGGTACAGTGAGTTATGATTGTGCCACTGCACTCCAGCCCCAGTGACAGCAAGACCTCATCTCAAAAAAAGAGTGAAATAGTAATTCTTGTTAGCATTTTAAGTGTATCAGTTAGCATATCCACTCTCTGAATAAAGTTTCATATCCAAGCTACTGTTAAGATCAAAAGATAGCCCCCTAGAGAAAAGGAAATTGATTTTCCTAAAAGGTAGTAGCTTTTAAAATATAGAGTAGTGGGCAGCAGGCCTGTTTGACAGCCAGCATCATCTACATCAGAATCACCAAGGGGGTGTTTATTAAATATGGAGATCCCTGAGCTCTTCTCATATTTATAGAATTTGGAGAAGAGGTTCTAGAATCTCCAGATTTAATAAGCATCCAAATGATTCTGACTCATGCTTGAATATGAAAACCATTGGCCCAGAGTAGTTGTTCTCAAATTGTGGTCTCTGAGTCAGCAACATTTAGCCTCACTTAGGAACTTGTTAGAAATGTGTATTTCAGACCTCATCCCAGGCTTGCAGAGTTAGAATCTCTGAGGGTGGAGCTCAGCGCAATATATTTTAACAAGTTCTCCAGGTTATTCTGAGGCACACTGAATGAACCACAGTGGCTCATTCAAAAACCACTAGGATAGGGCCCTGGAAACTGGAGCTTTAATCCTAGTTCTACCTAATACAACCTAACAATGAATACTTAAGGAAAGTCTCCTGACTTTTCTCATCTTGAGCTACTAAAGTTGCTGGGGAGGTTCAGTGCCAGGCATGGTGGCTCAAACCTGTAATCCCAACAATTTGGGAGGCTGAGGCGGTCAATCGCTCAAGCTCAGGAGTTCAACACCAGCCTGGGGGACATGATGAAACCCTGTCTGCACAGAAAATACAAAAAATTAGTCAGACATGGTGGTGTGTGCCTTTGGTGGTCCCAGCTACTCTGGAGGCTGAGGTGGGAGGATTGCTTGAACCCAGGAGGTAGAGACTGCAGTGAGCCTAGATTGTACCACTGCACTCCAGCCTGGGCGACAGTTGAGACCTTGTCTCAAAAAAAAAAAATTTTTTTTTGCTCTGGATTGTTTCTGGCTGGGTGCTACAACTTCTATGAATCTCTAAAGTATATTGGAGGAAGATCAGTACATCAGATTAGATATATTTCTAGAACTGAAATGGTTGGATTTTGCTTCTCAATTCCTGCTGGAAACTGGTGTCAAGTCAGGTATTGATGCAGTATTACAAAGCAAATTGTTTTTCCAAAGTGAGATGTAGTTATGCCCACAGCTTTAAAAATTTAAGAGGGCATCTTCTGGGAAATTCTCAGTTACACAGTCACTGAATTGGAACTTTATGTAATTTCTACTTCTCTGTTATGTTTGTGTATAATACATGTAGGCACTAATATATTTCTCTGTACTCATTTTTGGGAAAAGAGTAGGCAAGAAGCATTTAACTTTGTGTTTTAATTACTTATCTAAACAAACTTAGCTGTAGGAACTAACTCAGGTGAAATTTATTTTTGAATTACAGATATAAATGATTAATATTACGTATTTAATTTTTTTAAAGTTTTCTTTAACAAAGTGGCATGCAGGTTGGGCACGGTGGCTCACGCCTGTTTATCCTAGCAGTTTGGGGGGCCAAGGCAGGCGGATCATGAGGTTAGGAGTTCAAGACCAACCTGATCAACATGGTGAAACCCTGTCTCTACAAAAAATATAAATAGCATGGTAGTGTGCACCTGTAATCCCAACTCAGGAGGCTGAGGCAGGACAATCAACTGAATCCAGGAGGTGGAGGTGGTAGTGAGATGAGATCCCACCACTGCACTCCAGCCTGGGTGACAGAGCGAGACAGTCTCAAAAAATAAGTAAATAAATAAAGAGGCATGTAAATATGACTTCATTGTGCCTTAATGTAACATCTTGACTTAGGGATCATATTTTTAATTTAATATAGTTGACATTGATTTTAAGAATCTAAGATTGTTTTATGCTGAGTTTATATAGGAATAGAGTTAACTCCTACACTTAACATGATTTCTGGTGCTATTACCGCTTTATCATAAAAAAACAAGGATTATATTAATAATTGTGCATATATTTTTGATAGTATACCTAGCTCTAAGCCCTGCTCTCCAGGAAGTCATGACTGCTGATTTAAACATAAATGGCCCATAAATTATAGTTATTAGACGAAGCTTTCTTTTTCATTGTATGTTTTGTAGCTGTTTTTGGTTATCTTCAGATTATCTAGTAATAGTCAACAGTGTATTGAGTACTTTGCTCCAGACTGAAATGCTAACATTTTTCTTTTTCAGGACTTGGAGGGAGTAGACATCATCCTAGGTGTCTGCTCTAGTGGCCTTCTGGTTTACAAAGATAAGCTGAGAATTAACCGCTTCCCTTGGCCCAAAGTGCTAAAGATTTCTTATAAACGTAGCAGCTTTTTCATCAAGATTCGGCCTGGAGAGGTACAGAATTTGTATTTCCTTCCTTCTAAACCAGATGCAGACTGTATCTGACATATCTGTTTATTTCCATTTTCCTTATTAAGTCATCTAAGAAGTCTCTCTATAGTTAACTATTCAAGGACTGATAATTCCGTTTTCTAAGTTGATCAGTCCTGTGATGCTGCTTCTTTTTTTTACTACTGGACTTCTGGACAGTTCACTTTTTCTAAGTAAACATACCATCGCAAAAAGTTAAACTGATAGATTTGTTCCTTGTTTACTCCAAGCAAAAACTTAATGGAAAAAAATTTTTAAATTGAGTAGCATGGGATTTTAAAATTATTTGTGGGGATAAATTACTCATGTTTGGCCCCAGGAATCCCTTACCTCATATAATTAAAATTTACTTGTATGCATAGCTTCTCATGGCTAATGAGAGTGTGTTCTAGGGCCAAGTTCTAGATTTTTAATAGAGTTGGATGTTCAACTTTGTACCAGATAATTCATTTATTAGTTGGTTTCAGGATATACTAATGCTGGCCAAATTTAACTTTTGTATTGAAGAGCCATTATGGAATAGCGTAAAATTGTTAAAGTAGGAATTAAAGTTTTTTTAAAAAAAGTTCTGGCTTCTTTTCTGCCACATACTAAGCAAAAGACCTGGACAAATCTAAGACTCAACTTCCTTATCATTTGAGCAGGATAATGCCTTCTTCATCATAGTTATTTGAAGATCAAATGGGATGACAGCTCTGAAAGTTCTATGTAGGAAATGATACTAACCTAAAGTGGCTTTTTAATGTATATATCACCATCTGCTGGTGAAAAATGGCTCTTTATTTGAGCCTGGAAATTCTGGATGTGCAGCCTAAAAATCTTGGATGGGGATTATCATAGAAGCATTTATTTTGTATCATAATTACTTACCTATGCCTAGCACAGAGCAATCAATGTCTTCCCTTAAAATTTCAAATTCAAGAGTTATTCAGTCCATAAATATTTATTGAGAGCTTTCCTGTGTTGGACACTATTCTAGGGACCAGGAATATAACAGCAAATTAGAATCCCATCCCTCACATCTGTTAATATGATAATGGGAAGTCTTTAGCTTCTAAAAAGGTAGAATTCTTATTTAAGAAGGCAATCAGGAATAACAGCATTTTGAGAAACAGTATTGTGGCTGCAATAGATGATTTCACTGTGGCATGGTATGGTGAAGAGGGTGAAAATCTGCTTCTGTCATTTCATACCTGTGGAACAGAGCAAATAACTTCTCTGACCTCTTGAACTAGAGGTATCTGGCAGAAAAAAAAAGTTAAAAAAGAGAAAAAAAAACTTCTCTGACCTCAGTTTCTTCATGTGTAAAAATATAGATGATACTATCTAATCATAAAGTTATTGGCAATAGTAGACACTCAAAATAAGTGTTAGTTTCCTTTCTATCTTATAAAATATGCTTAAAGTTTGCCCAGTGCAGTGGCTGTCGCCTGTAACCCCAGCACTTTGGGAGGCCGAGGCAGGTGGATCACAAGGTCAAGAGATCGAGACCATCTTGGCCAACATGGTGATACCCCATCTCTTCTAAAAAAAGAAATACAAAAATTAGCTGGGCATGGTGATGCATGCCTGTAGTCCCAGCTACCCAGGAGGCTGAGGCCGGAGAATCGCTTGAACCTGGGAGGCGGAGGTTGCAGTGAGCCGAAATCGGGCCATTGCACTACAGCCTGGCAACAGAGCGAGACTCTGTCTCAAAAAGAAAAAAAAGGTTAAAGTAGAAACAAAGAGGTAAAAGGTCAACAAGACAGTATTTTTAGTAGCCCTGGCAGAATATGGTTTGCTTCAGTCAAAGTGGTATCTAGATAAATTAATGATAAATCAAAGGAAAAAAAGAAACATTTAGTGATTTAAGAATCTGAAGAATAAGTTCAAGAGATCTATTGTACAACATGGTGAACTATCATTAATAGCAATGTATTATATTCTTGAAAAATTGCTAAGAGACTAGATTTTAAGTTTTCTCACCACGAAAAATTAATAAATATATCAGGTAATACATATGTTAATCAGCTCAATTTAGCCATTTCACAGAGTATACATATTTCAAAACAACATGTCATAGATGATAAGTATATATAATTTTTATTAGTCAGTTTAAAAGATTGATTTAAAAATCTGGCTTGAACTAAAATCTTCAGCTCCTATTACTAATTTCTATTGCATAATATTGATTGATTGGAGAACTTGGTCAATATCCCATTCCTTGTTCATTGAATAGTATCCCAAATGCAGATAGTGACTAAGGAAAATCAAAAGGTGTCTAGAGTGTCTGGACAATCAAAAGGTGACTTAATTATGTCTCAGAAAAATGTATAATGAATGTGTGTGTGTTTTCTGAAAAACAAAATAACATGCATAGGTGATATGAGATGTATTCCCTGTTTTTTTTGCTTTGGAAAAAGCCACCCTCAGTGAGTGAATTTCTTTCAGTAAGTAGGAAAAAATTTTAAATGACATTTTACGTCCTTAAATTGGTAACAGTGGCCTCTTCTGTGGCACCATATTTCTCTGGTACTGATCACTGTAATCTGGTACTGTATCACATGTAATAATTTCATGTCCCATGTTTATTTGTGTTTTTGTAGCAAGAACAGTATGAAAGTACCATTGGATTCAAACTTCCCAGTTATCGAGCAGCTAAGAAATTATGGAAAGTCTGTGTAGAACATCACATGTTTTTCAGGTATTATTCTCACTCAAGTATTTTTCCAGGATAAATTATTTATAATGTTTCTATTTTAAGCCTGCTATTAAAATTCCTTTCTATGTATGACTAGCTCTCTTTTATTTAGCTCAGGTGAGATCATCTTAAGCAGACAAAATGAATCCATTTCTCTCCCTTTGGGTTGAAAAGTGTGCTTCAACATTTCCAAAGCACCTTTTTGTGTATGGTAGAAGGAAGAAAGGAGTAAGGAATGGAAACCTGCATTTATTAGGGACTCTGGGATTGCACAAATTGTAGCTAAAGTCAGTCTGATTAAGGGAAGTTACCCTCATTTACCTCTGCATGGAATTTTTTTTTTTTTTTTGAGATGGAGTCTTGCACTATCGCCCAGGCTGGAGTGCAGTGGCGCCATCTCGGCTTACTGCAACCTCTGCCTCCCCGGTTCAAGCAATTCTCCTGCCTCAGCCTCCCAAGTAGCTGGGATTACAGGCACCCGCCACTACACCCAGCTAATTTTTTATATTTTTAGTAGTCGGGGTTTCACTGTGTTGGCCAAGCTAGTCTCAAAACTCCTGACCTTGTGATCCGCCTGCCTCAGCCTCCCAAAATGCTGAGATAACTGATGTAAGCCACCGCACCTGGACAGAATTTTTATTTTTTTGTTTTATTATTATTTTTTCTACATGGAATTTCTTTAAGCAATGCTTAACTGCTTTTTGTGGGGCTTTTATATGAAAAGGTTAAAGATGTGAAGCTGATTGTTAGCTTGGCTCTTATCAACCCCAGAAAGGGAGCACACAGAACCATATTTGAGGCATAATTGTACCAGATAATCAGAAGACAGAAGAAAGTAATTCCTCTGCTTTTTTTGTTTGTTTGTTTGATTGATTGAGATGGAGTCTTGCTCTGTTGCCAGGCTGAAATGCAGTCTGTGCTTGCTGTTCCTGGTTTCCAGTCATTCTCCTGCCTCAGATTCCCAAGTAGCTGGGATTACAGATGCCTGCCACCATGCCTGCCTATTTTTTGTATTTTTAGTAGAGATGGAGTTTCGCTGTGTTGGCCAGGCTGGTCTCAAACTCCTGACCTCAAGTGATCCACTTGCCTTGGCCTCCTAAAGTGCTGGGATTACAGGCATGAGCCACCGTGCCAAGAGGCCATATTGTTAACCCCTTGAATTCATTTACCCAACATTTTCTCTGTGCTTGCCCTTCTTGTACCCACCATGGTAGGCATTGGGAATATACCAAAAGATAGTTCTAGTCTCTCTCATAATGGAACACCCAATCTAGTAGAGAAGACAGACTTTAGACAAGTAATTACTTGTGTTAAAAGGAAAACTAGCTAGTTATTTATCAGTTTGCCTTTTGTTGTTGTTTTTTTTTTTCTTTTGAGACAGAGTCTCACTCTGTTGCCCAGGCTGAAGGGCAGTAGCACGATGCCTCAGCCTCCCAAGTAGCTGGAACCATAGGTGCACACCACCATGCCTGGCTAATTTTTAAATTTTTAGTAGAGACGAGGTTTTGCCTTGTTGACCAGACTGGTCTCGAACTCCTTACCTCAGATGATCTTCCCACGTTGGCCTCCCAAAGTGCTGGGATTGTAGGCGTGAACCACCACACCCGGCCTAGTTTGCCTTTTTAAGAGTTTCTTTATTAAGGAAAATTTCATATGTAGCAACAGTACATTAAAATCTCCTTGTACTTATCACCCAGCTTCAATAATTATCACCCCAAAGCCAATCTTGTTTCATCTATATCCCTACCTACTCCTTCCCCCTACTTCTGAGATTATTGTGAAGCAAATCCCAGGCCTCACATCATTTGATTCATAAATAAACTTAATTCTTTATAAATGGCTCTCCACAGAAAAAGAGAGATAATCCTCATATCTTTTCCTATTTATATTTTCATATAATAGCACTATAGCACAATCGACAGGAAGAAAAATCAAGGAAAATATTATTTCAGTTATTTCAAAATAAAACATGAGGGTGCATTTTATATCCGATTAAAGAATCTTAATTATTGGCATTAACACATTTATTTATGCTTTCATCATCCCTGCATTAAAATCAAACCACAGAAGTGGAATTTTTAAAAAAGGGCAAGGAGTAAAAAAGAGGGATTTTTGAATATCTAATAACTGTGGTATAGATTTCAGCTGCAGCCAGTATACTTATTTGTAGGATGGCATATTTAATCTGTTGCATCAAAATAAAAGGATACCTTAAAATGTAATGCTCCATTACATAAAAGAAAGTGTATGTTTGCTGAATTGAAATTAATTATCTCAAAGGGAAAAATACTCTCTTTTTGGTAGTATTTGATGTAGTAATTTATGTATTTATTCAACAAATATTTATTGGGTACCATATTCATGCTAGGCGCTATGCCAGAAGCAAAAACACAAAGATGAATAAGTCATGGTCTTTGTTCTTTACTCCTAGAGAATTCAGTCTTGTAGGGAGACCAGCATAGAAATAGATTGTTTTAATTCAGTATGGTACAAAGAATACATATTGTACTGCATAAGAAAAAGATGGGGTTTCTAACTGAGTTTAAAAATTTACCAAATAACCTGTTAAATAGATTACTAGGGATTAATTGAGTTTGGAGGACATTTGACAAAACTGTGATTCTAGTAGAATGGAAAAAGCTCTGGGCTTGGACTTTGTTACTGCCCAATATCCTAACAGCTGTGTGATCTTAAGGAAGTAACTTCTTTTTTGAGGTTCAGTTTCCTATATCTATAAAATGGTGAAAAGCATTACAAGGATGTAGCAAAAATACTGCAGTGCTATAAAAACATTTTGAAAACTATAAGGCCCTTTCTATAGAGATATAAGTGATCCTATTAACATAGGTCCCAACTAAATTATACTGATTACTTTGAGAAATGACAAAGAACTAAAATAATGGTTACTTGATTGAAAATCTCTTAGTAACTATACGGAAACAGTAAGAAATGTGAAACTTTTTTATTCTTGATTTTGTTTTTACAGTGTTACAATGATGAGATGAATATATAATAATATGACTATTATGACTCCCCCCCCTCAGATTGACATCTACAGACACCATTCCCAAAAGCAAATTTCTTGCGCTGGGATCCAAATTTCGATATAGCGGCCGGACTCAAGCTCAGACCAGGCAAGCTAGTGCTCTAATTGACAGGCCTGCCCCACACTTTGAGCGTACAGCAAGTAAACGGGCATCCCGGAGCCTTGATGGAGGTTTGTATTAAATATTAATGATTTCTTGTCATCATAATTCATTTGGAAAGATAAAGGAAATACAGTTATTTATAAGATAATGAAATTGAAGAATCTCAGTGGTAAAAATGAAAGGATCTTACTAGCTCTCTAATCTTAATAGAACCATCTTAAGAAAAGGAAAACTGAGTTTCAGAGAGTAGTGACTAGATCATGGTTCCACTGCTAGGTAGTGGTGGATCAAACACTACCAGAATTAGAACTGTAAATCTAAATCTATCAGAATCTCTACCACAGAGTTAAAATCTAATGTGGTATGCTAAGCTGAAGCCTTAAGTGTTTAAAAATAGCTATTCTATTTTTCTGCTGTCCTAGTAACACAGGAGGCTGAGGCAGGAGGATAGCTTGAGCCCAGAAGGTCAAGGCTGCAGTGACCTATGATTGCAGCTCTGTACTACAGTGTAGGCCACAAAGTGAGACTTTGTCTCCAAAAAATAAGTTCATTAATTAATTGATAGTGATTTTCTATAGTAGAAAAGAGGAAAAGGGTCTGCCTTACTGTAATAATCATTTATTTTTATATTTTTTTGAGACTGAGTCTCATTCTGTGGACCAGGCTGGAGTACAGTGGTGAAACCTTGGCTCACTGCAACCTCTGCCTCCCGAGGTTCAAGTGGTTCTCCTGCCTCAGCCTTCTGAGTAGCTATGCTTACAGGCATGTGCCACCACGCCCAGCTAATTTTTGTATTTTTAGTAGAGATGGGATTTCACCATGTTGGCCAGGCTGGTCTCAAACTCCTGACTTCAGGTGATCCACCCTCCTCGGCCTCCCAAAGTGCTGGTGTTACAGGGATATGCTACCACTATGGGCTAATTTTTGTATTGTTAGTAGGGATGGAGTTTTGCCATGTTGGCCAGGCTAGTCTTGAATTCCTGGCCTCAAGTCACCTGCCTGCCTCGGCCTCCCAACTGATGTATTGAGATTACAGGTGTGACACCCCCTATACACCCCCCCTTTTTTGGTGTTTTTCTGTTCTCCCAACTTTAAGGGGCTGTTTTGTTTGTTTGTTTTTTGAGATGGAGTCTGGCTCTGTCGCCCAGCCTAGAGTGCAGTGGCGAGATCTTGGCTCACTGCAACCACCTCCCAGGTTCAGGCTATTCTCCTGCCTCAGTATGGGGCTGTTTTAATAGTAACAATACAAGGCATGTTGCATGCTTTGTCTTAATCTTCATGAAAACACTATGAACTAGGCTTGGAGATTAAATAACTTTTCTTAAGATTTGACAGCTGGTAAATGGAAGGGCTAAGAGTGGAATTCAGGTTGGTTTAACTCCAAAACTCATGTTCTTTCAGGTACGTATTTATTGCTTTGTTCAACAATTTATTTTACACTTCCTATGGGCCAGGTGGTATTCCAGTCACTATAGATACAGCTGTGAGCACACAAACAGTCTCTGCCTTCATGGAGCTAACATTCTGTCATTGGAAACAGAAGAATAAAACAAAATAATTTCAGATAGTGATGAATGCTGTGAAGAAAATAAAACAGGATAAGGAATATAGAATATCTGGGGGAGATAAGGAGCTATTTCAGATTGGATGGTCCAATCTAATTTAGAGGGCTTCTCCATGGAGCTTCATTTGAGTTGAGACCTGAATTATGTAAAGGAGCCAGCCATCTCAAAATCTGGGGGAAGAGCCTTGCAGAAGAGGGAGTAGTAAGTACAAAGTCCTGAAGGTAGGCATGAGCTTGCCATGTGTCTAGAGCAGTGCTGTCCCATGGACCTTTCTGTGCTGATGGAAATCTTTCATTTTGTAATATCCAGTTCAGTAGCCAATAGCTGTATGTTTCTGCCCATTAAGAACTTAAGTGTGGCTATGTGACTGAGGAATGGAATTTTAATTCTAATTTAAATAGCCACATGTGGCTCATAGGTCTCATATCAGACAGCATAGGTCTAGATTCCAGGAAATGCAGGGGGAAGGAGTACAAAATAAGAGAAGTAGGTGGGAGCCAGATTGTATAGGGCCTTATGGGCCACAGTAAAGAGTTTAGATTTTATTTCATTTGCACTGGGAAGCTATTAGAGCTGGAGTGGTGTAATCTGAATCCCATTTTTAAAAGATCACAGCTGAATAGTCTATTGAAGTGTGAGTGAAAGTAGAAGCAGGGTGAAGGCAAGTTTGAGGCATAATCATTTAATCTGCATATCTTTGCCATATTCAGATAACAATATCAGGCATCTCCCTCCTTGTCCAGTAAATCACCTTACCTCCAGTTTACTTTAGGTATGGGAAATGATCTTTTTATCTCCATTTTTCAGGTAAGAAAACTGAGGTTAGAAAATTTAAGTGACTTGTTCAGCGTCTCACAGACAGTAAGTTGTAAGCTAGAACAGAAATCCAGGTCTGTCTGATAGCATATCCCATAGCTTTCCCCACTAAATGGAGTTTCATGGTTATATAGGTATTATGCCTGACGTATTGTCTTTTTCTAATAGCAGAGGTAACCGAAGAGTCAATTGTTAATAAGTCAAGTGTTAGTACGCTTTGGTATCTTGAATTACAGCTTGACTGCCTTATTACATTTATATTCTGAATTTTTTTTTAAGATGCATGATCTTGTCCTAGTAATTACCACAGTTCTTGCTACGTGTATTTTAATAAATAAATATTGGCTGGGCGTGGTGGCTCACGCCTATAATCTCAGCACTTTGGGTGGCTGAGGTGGGTGGATCATTTGATGTCAGTAGTTAGAGACCAGCCAGGCCAACGTGTTGAAACCCTGTCTCTACTAAAGATATAAAAATATTAGCCAATTAGCTGGGCACGGTAGCACATGTCTGTACTCCCAGCTCCTTGGGAGACTGAGGCAGGAGAATCGCTTGACTCCAGGAGACGGAAGTTACAGTGAGCTGAGATTGTGCCTGTACTTCAGCCTGGATGACGGAGTGAGAGTCTTGTCTCGAAAAAATAACAATAAAATAAAATGTCATTCTTTCCCCACTGTATTCCAATGTCACCTTTGTTATAAATCAGGTGACTATAAATTTGGGAGTTCATTTAAGGTCTCTCTAATCTGTTGTATTGATCTTTGTCTATCCTTATGTCAGTACTACATTATCTTAATTATTCTAGCTTTTGTAAGTGTTTATCCAAGTTCTCTAACAATATTCTCTAAGATTATCTTGGCTATTCTTAGGCCGTAGCATTATCTTACACACTGTAGAATCAGATTTTCAATTTCCACTAAAAAAGTTTTAATAGTTCTCTTGGGATTTAGTTAATTATATGAATCAGTTTGGAGAGAATTGACACTATTATAATATTGAGTCTTCTGATTCACAGACATGCCTCACCTCTTTTGTTTGGGTTTTCTTTAATTTCTCTCAGGAGGCCAAGTAGTTCTGTTTTTATTTTTATTTATTTTTGCCCCTTCCCCCAAGTTCTGTTATTAAATGTCTTCTTTTTCTCTTTGTGCTATCTTCTCAGTATAAAAACTGGAAACATGTCTGTGGAACTATTTTTCCCTCCTTTTCTTAGACAATTATCTATGCTCCTTGAGAGATACTTTTTCCCATTGAGTCACCCCTCTTTTTTCAAAAAATTAATAAAGCTCTGTAAGCTAGAGATGGTGTATCAGGGAACCTTTTACAAGAATTGCTTTGTAAGGGGCCTCATTTTAATGATAAAAATGAGCATTCCCTTTCTCTTCTGTTATGTCTGGTGCTCAGAGCATCTGCTTCACCAGCTGGAGTACAAAAACTGGTTCAGATCCCAGTTTTATTATGGAGTAGTAAGTCTCAGGGGTAGCTAATAATGATGACAAGGATTTTTCAGCTTATATTTTTCTTGCATTTTTTGCTTTTCAAACCATTTCCATGTATTCCCATTTAATACGAGCTACTTAGTGAATAAGAAAAACCATTTAGAAATTACTGTTTTACTCAAGAGGAAACTGGAGCACAAAAAAAAGGGCCATACAACCAGGTAGTTCATCCATTCGGTGAGTAGTGATTACAGTGATTCTTGCCAGGGGTGTACATCCTTATCACCTTTGGTGCTTTAAAACAAAACACATGCCCAAGCCTCACTCTTAGATAGCTCATCTGACTAGAGTGGGCCTGATCATCATCTTTTTGTTTTTCAAGATCTGCAAATGATTCATGTGGTCATCTGATAAAAGAACCACCCTACTGCATACTAGCAGAAATTGTGCTAGTAGGTAACAGCTGGAAGTAGAAATTGTTTGCCTTTACTTAGTCTGATGGTTGGAGTTTTATTATTGTTTAGTTTTGTTTTGTATTTTTTGAGATGGAGTCTAGCTCTGTCGCCCAGGCTGGAGTGCAATGGCATGATCTTGGCTCACTGCAACCTCAACCTCCGAGGTTCAAGCGATTCTCCTGCCTCAGCCTCCTGAGTAGCTGGGATTACAGGCATGCACCACCACACCTGGCTAATTTTTGTATATTTAGTAGAGATGGGGTTTCACCATATTGGTCAGTCTGGTCTCAAACTCCTGACCTCGTGATCTGCCCACCTTGGCCTTCCAAAGTGCTGGGATTACAGGCATGAGCCACTGTGCCTGGCTGAATTTTATTCTTTACTGCTCTAGTATATAACTATCTAAGTTTCTTTTGTCAGCCAAGAGCAATATAGCATTGAAGTTAGTGGGTCACCATCAGCACTTTTCTTTGTGTAGACCTTCAGAAATAGGAGACACTGGATTTTTAAAATTATGTGTTCTCTACATATGCACCAAAATTTTATATATGTTAGTAACTGAATTAATAACACTGAAGACCCACACATCTTAAAAAGCAGTCACTACCCTCAACACTGTGAATATTCTAAAAAGCTTGAATTATATACATTAAATGAGTGAACTGTATGGCATGTGAATTATATCTCAAAAAAGCTGTTAAAAAAAAGCCATGATCACTACCATGATATTTTTTTTGTGATTTTGTTTATAGTCTCCTTGTTGAGAAAATGAAAGTTTCTCTCTTCAGGGCTCCCAAGTGGTATCTTTCACTTGCTTGCATATCCATGCGTATATAATTAATTTTTCCCAGCATACTCTTGAAATAATATTAACCGACAACAGAAGAAATACAAGGACTAAGGTATGCCATTAGAAGTTATTAATATTTAAGATTCATGAAGTATCTTTATAACCATTGAATATTCCTTTTCCAACTATTTTGTAGAGCTAATATCTTCCATATTTTACAAATGATTAGACTGAAGTTTGTAAGATTAAGCATCATGCCTTGGGTCACAATACTGTATGTGATTGAAATGAGTGTGGGCCTAAGACTTATGATTTGGCTTTTTCCTCTGTTCCATGCAGCCTTTCACAGCCAGGGCTTTTTATTGTAATGTTATTATTTTTCCAATCTCTGAGCTCTGTTTCTGTCAGTTTCCACACTAATACCTTCTTTTCCACATACAGTACAGATTGCCAAGGCTAGGAATGCTGAAGGCATAAATCATTTGGCTCTGCAATTAAAACCAAAGACAAGTGGCAAAATAACACATGGTGAAAGCATGGGCTATGTTTCTATGATGCCAGGCATAGTTGAATTAATTCTTTGAGAGGAGGTGTGAATATACATGTATAATGATACTTTAACACAACTGTGAACAAAATATTTTGTCACATTCCCCTGTGTTGTCAGGTTTAGTCTGCCATCTGCCATTCTTGCAGTGACTGCTTAAAGCACCCATTAGTAGTAGCTCTGTGCTAATCCAGAGTTATTACTACTAACCTAGTAGTAGCAATCTGTGCAAGAGGCCACAGATTTTTCATGGAAAGATAAAGGAGATTCTTGAATTTCTGCTGTTTTTCCTATATATCCTCTAATGAATTATTTCTTTCACTGGAAATCACAACAGGGTAATGAGCATTTCTTTCTTTCTTTTTTTTTTTTTTTTTTGAGATGGAGTCTGGCTCTGTCATCCAGGCTAGAGGGCAGTGGCATGATCTCAGTTCACTGCAACCTCTGCCTCCCGGGTTCAAGTGACTCTCTTGCCTCAGCCTCCCGAGTAGCAGGGACTATAGGTGCCTGCCACCACGCCTGGCTAATTTTTATATTTTTAGTGAAAGACAAGGTTTTGTCACATGATAGGCTGATCTCAAACTCCCGACCTCAGGTGATCCACACACCTCAGCTTCCCAAAGTGCTGGGATTACAGGTGTAAGCCACCGCACACAGCCAAGATTTCTTTCTTAATATTGTTGTATGAAGTAGTGGCAAATTTTACGTTTTTATCTGTTCAGATTCGTGGAATTCCTGTAACTGATCCTTACAGTTTATAAATCTAAAAATTTCAGGATGAATTATGTTCAGTTATAATCAGTTTAAGAATGCAGGAAAGTATATAATAAAAATTATTGATTTCCATGCAAGTTGATTAAAAGTCTGAGTACAAAAGAGGATAATGATATGTTATCAGAAACTAAATCATATAGGAGAATACTTTCATTCCTAGATACTGTCAGGTAAGTGAAGTTTTATTACAAAGTGTAAATGTTTTGTATCCCTGAAAGAATGAACATAAAAACCATAAGAAGAGTATGAGTGATTGTATTGAAGTAAGCTGTATAAAACTTAGATACAAAATATTATAAAACAACAATTAGCTCTTTGAAAAGATTGAGCTTTTATCATAAGCCTATGTAGTTTATTTTCTCTAAAACAGTCTATATGGCTTTTCTCCTAAATTAAGGTTTCCCAACCTCAGTAACTTCAGCCTCTATACACTAGATGCCAGTACCTCCTTCTCTCCCCTCCTCAGTTGTAGCAACCAAAAATGTCTCCAGACATTGCCAAATATTCTCTGGGGACAATTTACCCCAGTTGAGAACCACTGCCCTACATATAGTAGAGAAAAAGAGCTGTAATACAAATTGGTAAGACTGACAGATAGTAGGACAGAACTCAAAAGATATTTTTGTCCAGGTTTGAGGACTGACAGTCAAAAGATTTTATTTTAATCAAATCATTTACTATTGGAAAGCATCTGGTTCAAAGATTCGTCCTTTCAAGCATCAGAAAATAGTCCTGTCTTATCAGAAGAGCTATTTATCAAGTTATTTTGTAATCATTCCAAGAAGGCTTACAGAAGAAATCAGACTTAATTCTTTTTTCCTACAATATATTTTTAGGTTCCTAAAATAACCTAAAAATGAACAGATCTTTATTTTTAAAAGGCCTCATGGAAGAAAACAGATTTAGTTAACTCCCTTTTTTCCCCCACCATAGACAACATTGTAGGCTTTTGAAACTAAAATTACAAGATAAATGGATTTTCTATTTCTTTTCTTTGATCTTGTCTCCCCTGAATTCTGCATTCATGGAACATCATCATTAACACATTTTAACCTTTCTACTGAGGGTACATTTAACTTTCTTGTTTTTATCAGTTCCTTGGCAGAGCACTAATGATTTATTTTTTACCCTCTGTGTGATAGCCCACTAAATGTTGTAACATTTGTATGTATCCTGGGTTCACAATTATTTTGCCTGGTGAGTTTTAAATAATACAGTAGCTCTGGCCTTTACCTTTTTTTCCCTTTTCCCTTTCTCACATAGCAGCAGCTGTTGATTCAGCAGACCGAAGTCCTCGGCCCACTTCTGCACCCACCATTGCTCAGAGTCAGGTCGCAGAAGGCGGTGTCCCAGGTGCCTCTGCTAAAAAAACAGGGGTAGCTAAAGCACAGAAGGAAACAGTGAAGGCTGAAGTGAAAAAGGAAGAAGAGCCACCTGAGCAAGCTGAGCCAGAGCCCACAGAAGCATGGAAGGTATGTCATCAGTCCAAATACCTGGCTAACTCACTTTGTGGTTTAGAGGCCTTAACTTTTGGACCAGGAAGGCTTTCAAAGCAATTGCTTATTCTTGTAGACTCCTAATAAAGTTATTCCTCAATCTATCTAAATGAAGAAGTCTCCCATGAACCTGTAAAATATTTTCGTAGAGTATGTCAATAAGACTGTAAGCTATCTCAGAAGTTACAAGGTGACCCACACCTTGACCCAAGTTAGTGTTTTTTAAAATGAGCTTATAAAACACACCAGTATGATTGATCCTCTGCTTTTTAAAATGATTTTTACTCATCTAGAGGGAATCTCCACATTGCTTTTTAAGACTAAGCTGTGCTATTGTGATTAAAATATTTTATTTTCTAAGATGGATGTATACACATTTCCAAAGAACAGGTATTACTTAAAGCACATCTCTGTGGTTGCTGAAATCTTAAGTAGCCTTACAAAAAAGAGAAGATTCATTATGTAGGAGAGGTTATACTGCTGAGTTGCTTATGATTCTGAGTTAATTGTACCCACAGTCACTGCATGTGTTGAAAAATCACCAATTTAATTAACAGATTTCCCAGACAGTGACTACACTGACCCTTTATATGTTAAGCTTTTTAAACACATTTAAGCAGTGATGGAGTCGAGGTGCTAGCTCAGATTTATTGAAATAAATATAGGTCTTACTGTTGGCAACAGGAATTAGGAGAAGCAGTCTACATAAGAAGAATTACATTTTTATATGTCTGTTAAGAAAATTTTTTTTTTTTTAATTTGGAACTGTATAAGATCTTAGTAAGTGTCCTCTCTTTGGCAGATGGATTAACCCTGTTATTTTGGAGCCAGATTAATATCTAGTTTATCTCTAGAGCAGTAGACAATCTAACTCTGTTTTGATTGTATTTTTTTAAAAAAGAAAAAATACTGTCAGGCCAGGTGTAATCCTAGTACTTTGGGAGAGTGAGGCAGGTGGATCACTTGAGCCCAGGAATTCAAGACCAGCTTTGGCAAAATCGCAAAACCCATGTCTACAAAAAATGCAAAAATTAGCTGGGTATGGTGACGTGCACCTGTAGTCCCAGCTCCTTAGGAGACTGAGACAGAAGGATAACTTGAACCTGAGAAGTTGAGGAGGCTTCAGTGAGCGGAGATTGAACCACTGCACTTTAGCCTGGGTGACAAAATGAGACCCTGTCTTAAATGGTGAAACCCCATCTCTACTAAAAATATAAAAATTAGCTGGGCATGGTGGCAGGTGCATGTAATCCCAGCTACTGGGGAGGCTTAGGCAGAAGAACTGCTCAAACCTAGGAGGCACAGGTTGCAGTGAGCCAAGATTGTGCCACTGTACTCCAGCCTGAGTGACAGAGCAAGACTCTGGCTCAAAAAAATCATAATAAATAAACAGTTAAATATGACATAGTTTTACTGTCCATTTGGCACTACCTTGAGTCCAGAGAGAAAAACAGATTGAGTGAGTGGTTCGTGTTTGCATTTTTATACCTAGCCAGATATTTATGACATTGGTCATCAAGTTCAGTGTCAACAATGCCTTTTTAATGTTAGATTACCTCCTCAGTTTTTAATGTTAGAATATCTCACCGGGACCTTGTGACTATCCTTCCATTTGTTATACTAACTAAAAAGTGTTGGATTACTGGAATTGTCAGGGGAATCTTCCTAGTGCCTAATATTCCTCTGGCTTCTGTTAACTTACTTGTTCTCCTTTTTCCCTGTAACATAGACATAAATATCTTCAACAGTAGACTCCCTTTGCTCTTGGGAACTTAGCAGAGTGAAGAGATCACTATCTGGTATATGCTTTCCATTTTAAGTGCCAGATAGGGGGTCTTATTGCCAATTAATTCTACATAGATACATGTTTTGAGTTACTTGTATTGAAATGAGACTGAATGCCACCTCTGATAACCTATTACTGTAATAGTGGTGGCAGAATTAAGGGTGACTCTGAGCTAATTTTATATGTAGCAGTTAGAAAATAACTATGATGGCCAGGCATGGTGGCTCACACCAATCCCAGTAATTTGGGAGGCCAAGATGGGTGGATCATCTGAGGTCAGAAGTTCGAGACCAGCCTGTGTCTCGACAACATGGCAAAACACTGTCTTACTAAAAATGCAAAAATTAGCTGGGCCTGGTGGCAGACACCTATAATCTCAGCTACTCGGGAGGCTGAGGCAGAGAATCACTTGAACCTGGGAGGTGGAGGTTGCAGTGAGCCGAGATTACATCACTGCCCTCCAGTCTGGGTGACAGAGCAAGACTCTGTCTCAAAAAGAAAAAAAAAAAAGTGACATTTACATGAAGCCATATTTATTATATATAGCAATAATAGTGATAAAGTAGGCTTGTATCTGTGAAAATTTCATTATCTGACATTAGTTTGGTGCCAGGTAGAGATAGCTTTTTGTTGTCACTTTAATGAGATCTATTCTGAAAGTACTGTGGTAGGTACTATCTCCCCCATGTATATTGTTATCTCACTTAATATTCTATGTAGGGTCATAGACAGAACTACTATTGCAACTTGGCCTCAATTCTTAAACTGAAGTAGAGGCTCTCAGTTTTCTGCTATTGGATTAATAAGGATCTGAAGCAAAAAGAAGTAATTATTCATTTGAAGAAGAAATTTAAGCTTTGTAAAATAATTTAACACTATCATTTGCTAAATGTATAATTCTAGAAAGGCATTATCTCCATTTTATCCATAAGAAATTTAAGGTCTGGGGTAAAAAACATGTTAATGACCACACACCAAGTATGCTGGGACTCAGCATAGAAATGACCCAAAATTGTTAATTACCCCTGATAATTAAAGTGCAGTAGCAGGATGTGCTTAATACTTGATGTTGTCACAAAGTTTGGTGATCTGTTAGGTTTTTTAGACTCAATTTAGAGAAAATAGCACAATGACATTGTACTCCAAAGTAATGCTGCTTAGTGTGATTAAAAAGAATATCAACACCACAGATTGATCAGGTTCTGTAAAGAACTTAATGATACAAAATGATTTAGCCCTTAGTAAAAACAATTAATTTTTTAATTTAAAATATCCAATGCTTTGGGCGTTGCTCACTCTAATATGCTCCCTCTTAATAGTATGGTTTTTTAAAATTAATTACTCCATTTTCTACATATAAAATGACATTACTAAAGGTATTTCAAAGCAAGGCAGGAGACCTTAGCTATTCTCTTTTTACTGTTATTAAGGATGAATCTTGCTCTTCTACCAAACACACAGGTTCCAGCTCCCTAGAAGAGATTGCAGTGTGTTGAATGTTGTGGCTGAATCCTGCATGTGCTTGTTTATAAACCAGTCCTGGGAGTAATTGCATGTGTTAGTCAAAATTTAAATTGAGTTTATTGTAATGTTTTGTTGTGTAATAAACTGAAGAATGAAGTACCTCCTTAAGAATATTGATCAACTAACAAAGTCCTTTGTGTTTACCAGTTTGGTGTCATATGTGGTTTATTACATGTGTGCTTTAACTGTAAAGATTTTCTTTTTCTTCCTATCATATATGTCATACATTGAAAACTTCATGTGTAAATTTGCTAATTAATTGTTATTTAAAGTACTTCCAGATCTTTTTTTTTTTTTTTTTGAAACGGAGTCTCGCTGTCACCCAGGCTGGAGTTTAGTAGCACGATCTCAGCTCACTGCAATCTCCGCCTCCCGGGTTCACATGGTTCTCCTGCCTCAGCCTCCTGAGTAGCTGGGATTACAGGCATGTGCCACCATGCCCAGCTAATTTTTTGTATTTTTAGTAGAGACGGAGTTTCACTATGTTGGTCAGGCTGGTCTCAAACTCCTGACCTTGTGATCTGCCCGCCTTGGCCTCCCAGAATGCTGGGATTACAGGTGTGAGCCACCATGCCCAGCCCAGATCATTTTCCAAAGGCAAAACACAAACATGGCTATTGCATTAAATAGGCCTAAATTATTATTTCTAGTGGGTACTGTTTTATAAATAAACATGAAAATACGTTTTCTTCATCAGTAGAATGCTTACCTTAATTTTCTTTTTTGATAATTTGGATATACATATTACTTTTTTAGCCCTTGAAAATGTGATGGTAAACACAGATGACTTTTGGGAGTAATATCCTTCCCTGTAACACCCTCCACAAGACTGCATCATGATGATTACATGTCAGCATATTTCACAACTAGCTTAAAGATGCAGGTTATTTGGAAACAACACTATTCATAGAAACCTACTAACCTAAAATGTTTTTACTACTTTATTTCTTAAATGTAGGTGGAAAAATCCCACACCGAGGTGACAGTACCCACCTCAAATGGTGACCAAACACAGGTTTGTGCCAACAGGCCACTTATTCCTTTTTCCCTCCATTGCCTCAGTTTTTTTCTTCTCCCTTACTCCCTTCTCCTTAAAAAAAATTATAAAATGAAGGTTCAAACAAACTTCAATGAGCAACATTTTATCATTTTTCTGTCTTTTTTAAATTATGGCAAAACAGAAGCTTGCAGAAAAAACTGAAGATCTGATAAGAATGAGGAAGGTTAGCCATTTTTCACTTTCATAAAACTACATTGCCATTTCACCCATGCTGACTTACAGTGCATTAAAAAGACAGTGATCCATTCTTTTCATTGATTTCTTTTAATCAGGAGTTGTTAATACTTTCAAATAATGGATATGGGCCAGGCATATTGGCTCACGCCTATAATCCCAGCACTTTGGGAGGCCAAGGCAGCAAGAGCACTTGAGGTCAGGAGTTTGAGACTGGCCTGGACAACATGATGAAACCCCTTCTCTACTAAAAATACAAAAATTAGCCAGGTGTGTTGATGCACAACTTTAATCTCAGCTACTTGGGAGGCTGAGGCATGAGAATTGCTTGAACCCAGGAGGTAGAGGTTGCAGTGAGCCGAGCCGCTGTGCTCCAGCCTGAGGATTAGAGGAAGACCCTGTCTCAAAAAAAAAAAAAAAAAAAGAAACCCCAAAACAAATAACAGATAGGTATATACACATATATTTGCATATAATTGAAGAAGGCATAATCCTGTACTGTGTATTGAAAAGTTTCATTAAACTTTTCAGTAGCAAAATACCTTTTTAAGCAAAATGAAATAATCAGTGAGAGTCAAACCTATCTTTTATATTTAACATTTATAAGAACTGTTTCACAATGACATCATATTCTTGGAATCATTGATAATATTTTATACGCATTTATCATAAAATGAAAATCATCATAGCTGGGATTACAAATGGCTAATGCCTGTAATCCTAGTAGTACTTTGGGAAGTCGAGGCAAGAGGATCCCTTGAGCCCAGGAGTTCAAGACCAGACTGGGCAAGAGATAGGGAGGCCCTGTCTCTTCCAAAAATAAAAATAAATTAACTGGGCATGGTGATGTGCTCCTGTAGTCCCAGCTACTTGGGAGGCTGAGGCAGGAGGATCACTTGAGTCCAGGAGGTTGAGGCTGCAGGAGCCACGACTGCACCACTACATTCTAGTGTACGTGACAGAGTAAGACCCTGTCTCCAAAAAAACACCCACTTTAGCAGCAGCTACCAGTAATGTTTGTAACTATGGGTTTGACTTCTCTGCGTCTCATTCTTTTCATCTATAGAGTGGGACGAATCAGTTTAAATCAGTTAACTAAATATATTTATTGGCTGATCATGTATAAAATGATCATCTTTCTTATATCTTTTTTATAAAAGGTATTAGAGATCTAGATACTGTAGTGTTGCTAAGTATGAAATATATCCCAAAAGCTAAATCATGTTTTTAAAGCATTTCTTCACATAGTACATAGTTCTATAGTACATAGAATTTCAGCATTTTTTAAGTCATATGTTTTAAGGTAACCCTCAAACAGTTTAATTTCAAAAATGAACATAAAACAGCTTGTTACATAAGAAGCCAATGAAGCCAGGAGCACTGTCTATTTAAATAACATCATCACATTCTTTCATCATTCATGAACAAGGTCATCATTTTCTCATGGTAATCATGTCCTCTGTGTGTCCTTGTGATTCTCTGACCATTTCATGTTGGCATATCCTGCGCTGTGGACATTTAATTTTAAGTATTTTTTGGTTTGCCAATTTTCAGTTTTTTCCTGCAAGAACAACATTTTAATTTGTTATGCTTTTCTGTTTTTCCCCCCTTTCATTTTCACAGAAAAAAAGAGAAAGACTAGATGGTGAAAACATTTATATCAGACATAGCAATTTAATGTTGGAGGTTTGTATGAACTTGAAGCTTATTTCAGTTGGTTGCCTGGAACCTTCTGCATTCTTTGCTGATCCCCTTTTCTTCATTCTGTGCTGCATTTGGTTTTGCATGCCATTGCATGAAGGAACTTTAGGTTTAAAATGCTTTTGCATGTTGGTGAACATGAAGATATGCAAACATCTCGCCTTCTGATTCTTCTTAGTTTCCATCTGTCATACTTAACCTGGTAAAATATATGATTGGGACTACCTCTATCTCTCATGGTTCCATTGTTTTACCCACCTTTAGAAAATTCTACATCATTGCTAAAAGTTCCTTTAATTTTTCAAGAGTATAAGCTGCATCTGTCCCAAATGCAAATTTGTACTATTCTTTCATTTTCTGAACTAAGATAGTGCGAAAAAGAAGGGAATTTGGAATGGACTTAAAATATTGGAGATAGTAGAAAAATGACAGAACTGTGGGGGAAAAAAGCAAAATATAAGAAGGAAAGAGGGAAGCCTAGTGTTTACTGAGTAGTTACTATAAGATAGTTTAATCATAAAAACAGGCCTGTGAGTATGAGATTGTTTTAAAGATGAGAAAATCAGGCTGGGCACACTGGCTCACGCCTGTAATCCCAGCACTTTGGGAGGCTGAGATGGGTGGATCACTTGAGGTCAGGAGTTCAAGACCAGCCTGGCCAACATGGTGAAACTCTGTCTCTTAAAACAAAATGAAACAAAAAAAAAAAGATGAGAAAATTGAAGCTCAAAGAAATTAGGTAATTTCCCTATCATCACAGAACTGGTAAAGCCAAGATGTGAGTTAGGATCTATCCAACTCTATTAAACTACACTATTTTCCACTCAGAAATAGCAACATGTTGTCTGCTATGGGAGTTGTAAGATTATTTTCTGACACGGCAGCTCAGCCTCCCAGACTCCTCCCATCTCAATTTCCTGAGTAGCTGGGACTACCGGTGCACGCCGCAATGCCCAGCTAATTTTTACATTTTTGGTAGAGACAGGATCTCAGTATGTTGCCCAGGCCGGTCTTGAACTCCTGGACTCAATCGATCCTGCTGCTTCGGCCTCCCAAACTGCTGGGATTACAGGCTTGAGCCACTGGACCCAGCCTAAACTTTAAAAACCAGATCTCTGGCTTAATATATAGCCTCTAATAATTATTTAAACCTCATCTTATTCTTTGTCAATATCTGTGTTTTGAGAACCTGTTATATGTATCAAGTACTTTCAGAAAAGTTATGCCCAGCCTTTATTGAACATTTATTGCATGGTGGGTGCAATACCAAGTGCTTAACATATATTTGTCTTGTTTAACATGAAGTTTTCCAAGGCTGGACTATCAGATATTTCAAACTTGGCAACTAGATCTCTTTGTTTTAGCCCATATCTTAAACTAGACCTGAGTAGTTCCATCTTCAGAGATTAGGAAGAATAGTGAGTGTTGGTTGATTTCCTTTATTTGGCAGTGTAACATCTTGAAATTCTAAACATCCATATTTCTTGACTAGTTCATCTTCAGTACTTCGTCTTAACTGGAACCTGCAGTACCAATCATATATTTGTTCTTTGTTCCATGAGGTGTGTTATGGCTTCTGAGAGTCACAAAGTCCCTGCGTGTGATGTGTTTTTCCCTCAGCATTTCATTGACAGCCATGAGAGGGGATTTCTAAATAAGTGTGTTTGAAAATTAAAACTACTAACTGCCTTTTGAGAACATTTTATATTTAATGAAGTGTTTGGTTGCTGCTAAAATTATGAAATGATAGGCCTCAAAAAGTGTCTAACCTGAACACAGCCAAAGTAATTTGACCATCATTCTTTAGTTATTATAAAGTTTTTTCCCCTTTTAAAGAAGTTCTCTCAAGTTATCTGTCACTCTAGCAGGTTTTTTTTTTCCTAAGCATCCCTCCTCCCCCTTCTCCTACCCCGCCCCCACTAATGCTTTGTTCTGGCACAAATAAGGTCGAGTTCATTTTTAGAGCTACCACCTCCTCCTCCATCTCCCAGAGAGAACCTGTAGCAAGTTGTCTATGACAAATTCTATTTGGAACAGGTCCCTTTGAGATCTTAATTTTATTCTGTGCCCCCACAGGTTTCTTACAAAACCAGCTAAGAAGGATGGAGAAAGCTCCCTCAGAAACTACTGGTTTTACCAGAACATTTATTTTCTCAGGTTCCAAGCCAATCCAAAGCTAGGCAAGAAGAGTAGCAAATCACAAGTTAAAAGGTTAACTCAGAGAGGTATTGTTTTACACAGCATCTCTTGCTCATTTTTGTTTTGCTCCATTCATACTTTTAACCCTCCCAAATATATTAAGTTGTCTTGACCCAAACAGATTTAATTTCCAGTAAGGAGCTAGGTCACCGGACCTGACATGCTGAGTGGGTCTGGTTGCTCAGTCCAACACTGAATCTTTGAATGGGCTTGTTCATGCTTTTCTTTAGTTAGTAGACATGCTTGCTTTCTTTCAGCTGGAACAAAAGTGCAGACTGTTGTTTCCCCTACAGTGAAGTCCATATTCATAAATATACTCACATTTCATCCCTGCAAGCAAAACACTCTTCTGGGGTAGCTACAGGATCACCCTTTTGGAGTTAGCTTTCTGTTTGATCTCAAAGCAGGTATATATGGTTCAGTCTTGCAAAAATAAAAAGAATAGACTAGTTAATGAATTTTCTGAATGAATATCTCCAGAATCAAAATCATCTTGCTGATTATTCTTCTTATGCTGTTTTCCCTTTGACATTGCTTTTGAAAAAGTTTTATTTAGTTAAAATCTATATTACCCTCAGAAAAAACTTATAAACAAATTTTGATTTAAATGAATTCTAATTTTTTTTTTCTGAATCCTACCACTAGACTGCCAGGGAGAATACTAATTTTTTTACTCCAATACAGCTGTTTCCTACAGAACCAAAAAAGAAAAACTAATCCCACAATTCACCTAGCATATTAGGAGATGTATTTAGCATTATGCTTTTCTTGGATACAGAGCTGCCTTGATGTATAATAAACACAGAATTTTTTACAGTCATCAAGTGATGGGCTCCCACATGTTTTGATCTCAAGCATAGATCTTTTAAGGTTTTTTGAAGTGTTGTTGGACAAAGAACATTTGAGTTTTTGTCTTCAAGTTATATTTACCAGATTATTTTTGGCCAAGTCCCCTTTTGAAAGTTGTTTTATACCTCCTTTTATATAAACCTGAATATTATTTCTAGATCATGCTTTATTAACCTAAACTTTGTTCATTTCTCCCTGGAATGTTCCTTTAATAGCTTGCCTGAACCTCAGGTTGCCCAGTATTCAAATTTACTAGAATATACACCTACTATATACTCACAAAAATTAAAAAAAAATTTTAATCTGCTGTAACAGTTGAATTATTTTAAATTGTCAAGGAGATATTTCAGGTATTTCGTGAACTCTTATTAACTCACTCCCAATCCTTTGGAGGTTATTGGAAGAAGTCCCTGTTTTGAATTGTACTAAGGAATGAAGTGAAGCTGTTAGAAGCTAGAAAGCCTAACGCTTTTAGTTTATGTGCATATTATTGACAAAAAAAGGCATTGTATTATGTACCTCTGAGTGATTTTTCAGAGATAGTAACAGTCTGCTCTGGAGTCTTTAGGAATTTCCGTAATACATTCTTACATCAAAAAAGGGCTATTCTTGTTCCTAAAAAAGCAAAAACAACCACCTAGTAATAGAGAAGTAAAACCATTTCCAGGTAGAAATAGAGGGGTATTGTATGTTTGCAACTCAACAAGACAAGATAGCCAATGTTGGAAGTCATATGTTTCACCATGCCTTCATTAAACAGTTTATCTATTGCTATCTCCATCCTGCTGAGCTGAGCCTAAAATAATTTATCAAGCTGAGTCTAATTGAGTAGTGGAATTACCTTCTTGGGATGAGGAGTTAGAGATCTGGTGCTGCATCATAATGGGAAGAAGAATCATAAATTAATGCGTGAGCTCTTTATGGGTTATATAACTGCTAACAGCTATGGCGTTGTGATACTTCACAGCTTCTAAGAAAAGCACTTTATTTAAAGAAAAAAAAAAGGCAAGCAAATATACCAGGTTGTATATTTATAATTTGAATGCAGTTTATGATTAGTAACATCTGTCCTGGATGTGGTGTGTTTTCTACCAGTGCCCAGTCTCTGATGGATTGCCCTTGGTATATTTCTTGTCCTGATTATGCATTGTTTTGCATCTTTGTCCTTTCAACTCTAGGATTTAGACAAAAGTCAAGAGGAGATCAAAAAACATCATGCCAGCATCAGTGAGCTGAAAAAGAACTTCATGGAGTCTGTACCAGAACCACGGCCTAGTGAATGGGATAAACGCTTATCCACTCACTCCCCCTTCCGAACTCTTAACATCAATGGACAAATCCCCACAGGAGAAGGAGTGAGTACTTTGTCTACATGACCAATTGTGAAAATGGAGAGCATAAATGTTTTTATGTATTAATATTCTGTATCTGAGAGAAAGCTTCAGAGCTGAAATTTGGATTTGATGTCTCACTAAATTGATTACTGCTTTCAGGCATTTGTAATCAAATATTTGTTTTTTTAAGTCATGTAGGCTACCCAGTCCAATTACAGGAACCATTTGGAACCACCACTAGATGATTAACCTCTAAGAACTATCTCTGCAGCTACATGCTTCTGGCTGCTATATGTTTCTAAATTGACCATAAGCCAGTAGAGGTTTGTTTGTATTCAAACTGCTTTCAGGGACTAGAAAGTTTACTAAATTTAGGAAGGTCAAAATAGAAAAGAGATTAGTCTTTTTAAAAAAGCTTTATTTGAACATTTGTACAAATTAGAAATATCTAGGGCTGGGCAGGGTTACTCACACCTGTAATCCTAGCACTTTGGGAGGCCAAGGCGGACGATCGCAAGATCAGAGGTTCGAGACCAGCCTGATCAACATGGTGAAACCCCATCTCTACCAAAAATACAAAAAATTAGCTGGGTGTAATGGCGGGCACCTGTAATCCCAGCTACTCAGGAGGCTGAGGCAGGAGGATTGCTTGAATCCGGGAGGCGGAGGTTGCAGTGAGCCGAGATTGTACCACTACACTCCAGCCCTGGAGACAGAATGAGACTCTGCCTAAAAACAAAGAAAAAAAGAAATAAATATCTGGAATGGTTGTCCACAATTATATAGTAAACCAAGGAGACCCCTAAGCAAGAGAATTCAGAACTCCAAATAGTTATGACTGTATTTCAATTTTAGAAAAACTATTTATTGGCTGGGTGTGATGGCTCATGCTTGTAATCCCAGCACTTCGGGAGGCCAAGACAGGCAGATCACTTGAGTCCAGGAATTTAAGACTTACCTGGGCAACATGACAAAACCCCATCTCTACAAAAATACAAAAATTAGTCAGGTATTGTGACGTACACCTGTGTAGTCCAGCTACTCAGGGGGCTGAAGGAGGAGGATTGTTTAAGCCCAGGAGATCAAGGCTGCAGTGAGCCATGATTGCACCACTACACTCCTGCCTGGGTGACAGAGTGAGACCCTGTTTCAAAAAAGAAAAAAAGAAAAGAAAAAAAAACTATTTTGTCTTTATGAGTAACATTAAACTTTTAATACACTGTTTTGTAAGATAGTCACAATTAGAGGAGGCCAGAGATACCTTTCAGGGGCTGTTCTTTTTCTGTTATTGTTATCATTACCTATTTTAGAAATCCTACATCTGAATAAATAATTCAGTTATTAATTCAGTTATTTATTCAGATGTAGGATTTCTAAAATAGTTAATAATTCATTTATTCAGATGTAGGATTTCTAAAATTTATTTAGATATAGGATTTCTAAAATAGGTAATGACAACAATAACAGAAACTTATTTTCATCTATTAAATAGATATTTTCATCTATTAAACATTTAATGAAAATATCTTGAAGGTTACCAGGCACATATACCCCAAAAGTTTTTATCTTTAGTCAGTACAAGTGAAATATTTATATAGTCACAATGACTCAATTGGTGATTATAATGATTTAAAAATTATGTGCTTGTTTCCCCCCCAAAATAATAGCAATACTGGTTAAAAAGGGTAAAATGATGTCTTAATAATTTAAAAAAAAAATTTTTTTTTTTTTCCAGAATTTATGGTAAACTATCCAAATTATTATTTAGTTTCTGGAACTGGAGAAGGTGATAAAAGTTGGTTCACAGGCTGGGGTGGTGGCTAACGCCTGTAATCCTAGCACTTTCGGAGGCTAAGGTGGGCGGGTCACCTGAGGTCAGGAGTTTGAGACCAGCCTGGCCAACGTGGTAAAACCCTGTCTCTACTAAAAATACAAAAAGATTAGCTGGGTGTGGTGGTGGGCGTCTATAATCCCAGCTACTCAGTAGGCTGAAGCAGGAAAATCGCTTGAACCCAGGAGGCAGAGATTACAGTGGGCCAAGATTGCATCACTACAGTCCAGCCTGGGCAACAGAGTGAGACTCCGTCTTATTTAAAAAAAAAAAAAAAAAAAAAAGTTGGTTCACAAAGGGTACTTTTTGTATTTTTCAAAGCCTGACTAAAATTGGCTAACAATTCTCCAGAGTTGAACCAGTTTCACAAATAAGGCTGGAGAGTACCTGAGTGATGGGCAGCTAAATAGAATTACCAGGGATGATAGGACGCTGTTGTTTCCTAATCTCTGTCCTCTCCCTGTTTTCTGATATAAATGGATATTAGTTTTGTGTTCTAAATCTAGAGCATGTATCCTGAACTGAGACAATAACTCTGCTTTCTGGGCAAGACCACTGTTTTCAGTGTCAGTCGGATATTTAATTTTGATGTATCCCTAGTAATAAGAGTCATATAGGGCCTAGTTCTAGTTGTGGCTTGAACAATTCTGAACAAGTCATTTATCATATTGGGCCTCAGTTTACAGAGTAGATGACCTTTAAGGTCCCTGTTAACTCTAAAATTCTGTTAAGTCTGTGACTCAATGAGAAAATTCCTTGTTGCTATTTCACCCGGCTAACCCTATCTATAAACTATGACTGCATATTTTCTAGAAGTTTTCTTTTTGACTCTGTGCAAGTAATAAAAGATGTTCAACTACTTTGAAAAAGTAACTTGGCACTCTCTTGGATGAGGTTGGGTAAATTTGAATTGGTCTCCATTTCCAGAAAATATCTTATGTCTTCTAATAGAAACCTTTCAGAAATCATCTGAGGGCTGGTTTTGGGAATGGTGATGTCATTCTGTGTACTTTAAAGAAATAAACTAAACTAGATCCATGGGAGTGCTTGAACAATTTTAGCTCTATGCTAAATGAATAATGTAATAAATAAGCACTGTACTATGGTGACCTTTAATATTGGATAATTCTACTTTCTAGCATATCTTACTTTTTCCTTAACAATTGAAATAATATTTCTGTTCTCTGGGGATACCTCTTCCACCTTTGACAGTATTGTTGTTGCATTGCAAGGCAACTGAATTTTATATAATTTGTGTATAACCAGGTGAAGAAAACTTCTATCCTTCCCTCGGAAAGAAAGGTTGGTGGGCCAGAGGTAAAGCTGCTGTTATGACTTGTGCTTCTCAATCAGAATTTGCTCTTGTCATGGCACTAAGCAGATAATCCCCCCAGAACTGAACAACAGCTGCTGAATCCTTTTTTTCTTTTGGCTGTACTAGTAAATTCACACCCACAGCCTTTTGGCCTAACACTTAACACTTCCACTGCTGCAGCTTTTGCAGCTTTCAATTGCTTATTTCGGCGCATGGCTGGTTGAAAAGCTGCATGAAGATATAAATACATATTCAGAGAGAAAATGAATTTAATTATACCCTATTCTTTTTATGTTGTCTTTCTTCTCCCCCTTTATTTTCTTTCAAAAATCATTGTAATTTTGCATCCTTTCTTTTCCTTTGTTTTTTTGCTGACCAGTCCCCTGGCTACTTTCTCCCTGATACATATCACTTAGGGGTGTGCAAAGAACCAGTGTTGAACTTCCAAACTGATCAGAGAAGGCTAGCTCAACTGAGAGAACTTAGAGCCAAGTTTTTCCTTTCATAGATAACATCTGTCTTGACTATGGATAGCAGAATACAGAAATTGCAGAAGGAAGAAAAACTTCTCAATTGGACAATTGGGGGGAAAAAACTTTCCTTAAAAGTATCATTATTATTTATTTGTTTTGGTGAACCTTGGAGGCACATTATAAACTTTTATACTTTGTTTTTCTTTTGCAGTCTTTAAAAATGTGTAAGATTAAGATTTTTATTTCTTGAACAAAAACTAATTACTATACTGAATGAATTGTTGCCGTTTTTAAAGTCTATATGAAGAGATAAGAGGATTACTTTTTATATTCTACCACTCTATTTGTAATAAAAGTAACTTTTATGATGGCAAGAAGAATGCTTCATTATTGGCATTGCCCAATTAGTGATTGGCAGCACCAAAGTAATAGAAAATGACCTAAAATTAATATGTGAATATCCTCAAAGGAAGAATAAATAATATAACTAGGGGAAAGCCAGTGATTCCTTGAACTTTCAGTTCTAATGTTCATTCACTCATAAAGGTATCTATTGAGCACCCTACTATGTTACAGAAACTTTGCCAAGATAATTTGCCAAAATAAAGTAAAGCTAAAATAGTGTCTAAAAGATCTTTCCAAATCCTTTGCACATCCCCAAGTATCATTTTTGAGCACTTTCCATCTGTCATTTTGTTCATCTTATTCTGTCTTTCTTGATCTTCTACCGTGAAAGCAGACACAGGAACGTGCTCTGTTAGTACAGGATGAAGAGAAAATTAAAAGGCAAGAAAGATCCACTGAAAGAGCCTTGCCCCAGCAAGAAAATGAAGAAATTCTTCCCAAGGTTTCTATTCCAATCCCTGAGGATCACAAGTCTCTCAAAAAGTGCCACCTCTACTTTAGTACTTTTCCATCTCCTCGTATTCCTTTCATGATGTCTTTTCTTGTGGTCCTTGCGTTGGCTGTTTGGTGGTTGGTCTTTCTGTGATCAGAAAACAGGGTACTCATCTGAAATGTCAAGACCACTGATTGAACGTTTGTCCTTGGCTTCAACTGTGTTATTGCTGTATGATGCCCTCTGATCTTGATAGTTCACTGTCCTAGGGGAGCTCTTGTGATCATTTTTCTGTCGAATGTTACTCTTTGCAGAGTATGCATTGTGGGATACAAAGGAGTAGCAATGGACTGCCTAAAGCCAGCTTTTCTGCACTGAAGTTTAGTAAGTTTAAACAAATCAGAATTAAGCATATGGCAGGTTGGTAATCTTCCCAAAAGCTTTAACTCTTTTATCTTGCACGTTTACTGTTTACTATTGTTATGTCCTTCTATCCAATATTTCACACAAACCAAGATACTCTCTAGATATATTAGATTGAATATTTTCCTAAACCTCTATAGTAATTTGTTTGGCATGGGCTTCATAGTTTAAGAAAAAATTTCAACTTGCTAACCTTTCAGAAGCCTTAAAATGATAACGTCTTAATCTACAAATCCATAACCACTCCTTTTCTTAGGACATTAAACCAGTATATACAAAAGTCTTTTCTGGAAAAGGGCTTTTGACTCCTGTGGCCTTTTTATGAGTATTCTGAGCTGTGCAGAAACAGCCAACTTTATCCTGCCTGATATATAGAGGAGATCTTCAAAGATTACATGCCATCTTTTCACACAGAGAGTGTTGGTATGGTTTAAGGAAAATGGTGCTGGTGCCCCTTAGCCTCCAGGCAGGACTGAAATTCTCAGACTACTCTACCTATCTTTAAAAGTCCTGGAATACAGATTTACTCAAGATCCGTACATAAATCCTTCTCTGAATTAAGATACTGTGATACTTCTTTATGGCTTTACTAGTTATATAACTAGCAGCAGTATTTAGCTATTGCTAAGCCTAAAATATATATTGATATATTTTGTTTTCCTGATATACTTCAGACCTGTTTGTTCTTGCACTTGCGTTGAAATCAGTTGTTTTTAATCAATGGCTTTGTGATCTAAAGTTCTGTTGTGACAAGTATGTGTCCTCTGTTTGCATGTTGACTTATAAGATTTAACTGAAGTAAATATGAGTACTCTCTCTCTCTTCAGGACACAACTCACATGCCTAACCTGTTATTTTTTTTACCTAGATATTGATGAAACCTTGCATGTTGCTTGCTTTTTATGGCACTTGAATGTACCGATATGGATGATTTGATTAATGTCTCAAATATTTGTTTTGAAATCTGAGTTTATAGGGTTATCAGACTAAGATTATTATACTTTGTCTTACTTCTCAATGCTCTTCAGTTGATGAAACTTCTCAACAAGACTTTTTGTTTTTGAGAAGATGGCCTCTTAGAGCAAAAAAAGAACAGTAAAGACAAGAATCTTTTATCCTTCAACATCCACCAGTATTATTCTCTTGTCTCTGGAGACATGTAGAAATAATTATCTGGTATTTCCTGAAAACTGCTACTCTCATTATAGTCTTTCCCAAGAAATGGAAAAAGAAGCAAGGACCAGGTTAAAATTTAAAAGTTGTGTGTATATATCTTTTATGTCACAGGCTATGTCTATTTATAATATATATTTTGTAAATAAGCATATTTATTGATTCACTCATAATAAGAGAGACCTGAAAAATTACAAAACTGTACTCTATCTACCACAGAAAGTAATCATCGTAAGTACTCTCTGGGAAATAAAGATACAAGAGCTTTCCTTAATGAAATAACAAATGGAACTATAGAATTGGTTAGATTATTTTAAATCTTTTTTTAAGGAATTAAAAGGAAATAATCAGAACTTTATACTTTTATAACTGTTTCAGATTATAATTCCTGAATTTCCAGTTTTCATCCTTATGCACAGCTTTTTATTAATTATTATTGTGAACTTCACCCTGAATTTTGTTTCTCTTTGTATTAGAGTTATTCCAAGTCCATTAAAAGTCTAAGCTAATGATACTTTTTAGTTTTCTGAAATGCAGCAAGAGTCCTCGGAGATTTTTATTGACAAAGGAGAGGCCATTTCTTCTATCAATAGGGTAAAAATGATTAAGAGGAGAATGGCCAAGCCCTTGTATTGGACAAAGCTGACCAATGCAGGATCAAAAGATACCCATCACAGTTATCAGAGGAAAAATATTTGGTATTCTATCTTTGTATTACCTAAAGGTAATGTTGCCAATATTTGCAATATAAAGTGTAAATAGGCTGGGTGTGGTGACTCATGCCTGTAATCCTAGCACTTCGAGAGGTTTAGGCAGGCAGATCACCTGAGGTCAGGAGTTCGAGACCAGCCTGGGCAACATGGTGAAACCCCGCTTCTACTAAAAATACGAAAATTAGCTGGGCATGGTTGTGCACACCTGTAATCTCAGCTATTTGGGAGGCTGAGGCAGGAGGATCACTTGAACCTGGGAGGCAGAGGTTATAGTGAGCTGAGATCATGCCACTGTACTCCAGCCTGGGTGACAGAGTGAGATTTCATCTTTAAAAAAAAAAAAGCCTAAATAGTCTTGGTTTCCTTCCTTCATTTTCAGTACCAGAGACAGATCCTAATAGATATTGGCATTACCTGTTACCCTGTTTCAGCTTCTTAATGGCAAGTTGATAAATAAAAAATAATTTGGACTAAAGATATCTATACAGACTATCATAATATTTTGGATTTTTGCCTTGGCTTTGTTATTATTCATTTCTAGGGTGACTCTTAAGAGGTTCACTTAACTACTTGGCACCCAGATTTCCACCTAGTAATGTGGAGCCAAACCTACCTCATGACAATGAAGATGTAATAAGTTCCAGGAACCAGAGACCCTGGTTGTTATTCAATTCTTGGTATTTGGGGAGCTGGGAAGATGAAAATTTAAAAACACACAAACATACATTACCTTCTTTTTATTTTGAAAGTAAGTAAATAGCTGTGTTTATTTCCATCTACTCTTTATTGATATTTGACCAATCACTTTACTAAGATGTCTTTCCAAATTTATCCTTCTCTTAATAAATTCACTTTATCCAAATGGCATTATTAGAGTGGATCATACTTGAAAATAAACCAAGCATCTGTATTTTGGACCTATCTTTCAGCCAGTTTCTTTTATGCTAACCCTTGGAATATGAAGGAAATATTTTGCATGGATCAAATTTTCTACTTATTTACATCTTCGTTAAAAGTTTTGAAGAGAAAAATACTCTGTTGATTAAGATTAGACTGGGGCCAGGCACAGTGGCTCACACCTGTAATCTCAGCACTTTGGGAGGCCAAGGTGGGTGGATCACAAGGTTAGGAATTCAAGACCAGACTGGCCAATATGGTGAAACCCCATCTCCACTAAAAAATACAAAAATTAGCTGGGCAAGGTGGCTCATGCCTGTAATCCCAGCTACTTGGGAAGCAGAGGTAGGAGAATTGCTTGAACCAGGACCCGGGAGGCGGAGGTTGCAGTGAGCTGAGATTGAGCCACTGCACTCCAGCCTGTGCTACAGAGCAAGACTCCACTTCAAAAAAAAAAGGATTAGACTGGATATTATACATGGAATAGATTTCCAGTTGGCATCCTAGAACCTAGTACGTTTCTATTAAATATTATTGTAAATTTTACTCTGAAATTTCTTTGGGTATAAGCCAATTCACTTTCTCCTACTTTCCTAGGTTACTTCTATAATACTTCTTATAAATAAGCCTGTAATACTTCCTGTAGGTAAGCATATAGGACACTTGAGGCATTAGAGAATTAATTTAATTAATTTTAAGAAGGTATTATGGAGCAAAACTTACACGTGTACTTTACCCAGTGGTTATGTATTTACCAAAGGAAAACAGAAAGGGCAACATTAATATGAGACATGGTCTCGTTGTTGTTGTTGTTGTTTTGCCAAGGGTTTTGAATATAGTAAAGACATATAAAACTTTTCGACAGAGTTGCCTTCTCTTATATTCCTCTTCACAGAAATTATAAAATCCCAAACTATAGCATTCTCTACAGCTTTCAAAAAGACTATTATATTGTTTTTATTATACATAGAAACTTCACTTTTTTTCATATATTCAGATTAAACCTGTTTGTAATGTTGATATGTTGATACTAAAAACTGAGACAACTCCTTATTCTTATTCTGTTTTGCGTGGCATGTGGGATTACCATATCTGCTTCCTCTATACTTTAGTGGATAGTATTAATAGACCGCGCTCATTTCTGTTGCTGTTACTCCTCATGACTTAGTGTCTCCTTTTAGTGCAGCAGAATATGACGCATATTGGTACAGAGCTATGTAAGTGTACCTGAAATGGTTAAGAAGGTATGGTGTTAGAATTAGAAAACCATATAAAGTTAGGCTAGAGGAAGAGCAGTGGCTATGATCAACTCATTCATGGAGGATTCCATTTGGTAAACAAAATTCCTATCATCCTAGAACTTGAAAGACAAAGATAAAGTAGTTTATTCCCACAGATCAGAAATGCAGGCTAAGAGCTAAATAACTTTAATAATATTCTAACTAAATGTATAGATAACATTGTGGAGAAAATACACTTAGGAATTTTTTAATCTTTTGTGATTGAAATACTAGGCTGAGTTTAGTTTACACCTGTAATCCCAGCACTTTGGGAGGCCGAGGCAGGCAGATCACCTGAGGTCAGGAGTTTGAGACCAGCCTGGCTAACATGGTAAAACTCCATCTCTACTAAAAATACCAAAAAAAAATTAGCTGGGAGTGTTAGGATGCACCTGTAATCCCAGCTACTCAGGAGGCTAAGGCAGGAGAATCACTTGAACCTGGGAGGCAGAGGTTGCAGTGAGCTGAGATCGAGCCATTGCACTCCAGCCTGGGCGACATGGCAAGATTCCATCTCAGAAAAGCCAGGCGTGGTGTCAGGCATGTGTAATCCCAGCTACTTGGGAGGCTGAGCTGGGAGAATCACTTACACCCAGGAGGTGGAGGTTGTAGTGAGCTGAGATGGCGCCACCACACTCCAGCCTGGAAAACAGCAAGACTTTGTCTCAAAAAAAAAAAGAAATCCTAGAAGGCAGCAGTGTCTTCCCCTTTAACGTAGTCAGAATCCTGTTTGGGATAAATAATAGAATAAATCTGAGATTTGAAAGACTAAAAGGTAGGGGAAAACAGAGTTCCTACTGTCTTTTCTTGTCTCAAAATCAGCAAAGGCAAGTGAGCCTCTCGTTTTCTTATCTACTACCTCTTTAAAGAAAAGTCTTCATATTTATAAGATCCCATCTCAGTGAAACACATATAAAAAGATTTAAGGGCATAACATGGCCACCAGTCATTTTATTCATTCATTTTATTCATCACCCACCAGCAAAGCACTCTTATTATATTTTACAAGGATGCAAAGAGTCAGCATTATCCGAATTTTAGGGATTGGATGGGATCCTAATTCAACTCCTCTCTCTTCTGGTGCTTAACTCTTCTCTACAATATCATTTAGAGATTTGGAGGCCAGTCTTGCAGTCTTGTTGTTAATACATCTCTTTTATTTGTGTCTTTCTCCTCAAAATTGTTAGATTCTCAAAGGTAAGAGGCTCTTTAGACCAAGCACGGTGGCTCATTCCTGTAGTCCCAGCTACTGAAGAGGTTGAGGCAGGACTATTGCTTAAGCCAGGAACTCAAGGCTGCAGTGAGTCATGATCACACCACTGCTCTCCAGCCTGGGTGGCACAGCATGACCCTGTCTCTAAAAAAATTTAAAATAGTCTTGGCGTGGTGTCTCATGCCTGTAGTCCCAGCACTTTGGGAGGCTGAGGCAGGCAGATCAGGAGGTCAAGAGATCGAAACTTTCCTGCCCAACATGGTGAAACCTCATCTCTACTAAAAATACAAAAATTAGCTGGGCATGGTGGTGCGTACCTGTAGTCCCAACTACTCGGAAGGCTGAGGTACAACAAGAATTGCTTGAACCTGGGAGGTGGAGATTGCAGTGGGCTGTGATCACGCCACTGCACTCCCACCTGGTGACAGAGACTCCATCTCAAAAAAAGAAAAAGAAAAATAGACCTTGATTTTGCCAATCTATCACCTTTGTGTTCCAGCTACCATGTTGTCTTATATATAACAAATAATATTTGTTAAACTGAATTAAATGATTACTCACAGATGGCAACTTTTCACATAGAATCTGTTGTACTGGCAAGTAAATTTGTGCCATATGCCCAATCAGTATATGCAGGTAACCCAGAAAGCCCATATCCAGCCCAGAAGCCACTGCCTCTCGTTAATCCTGAAGTATGGTCCCTGGTTTATTCAAGGAAACTAGTATACCCCTATGGTAGGTGTCAGTTTCTATTGTTAATATCTTGTAACTTGGTTCAATTAAAAGGTCTTATCCAGCTGGCCTTGGTGGCACAAACCTGTAGTCCCAGCTGCTCAGGAGGCTGAGGCAGGAGGATCACTTGAGCCCAGGCACTCCAGTCCAGCCTGGGCAACATGGCAAGTCCCAATCTCAAACAAAAAAAAAAAGAAAGAAAAGAAAAGCTCTTGTGCATTTACCACAGGTAATAATCAGCTATTCTCACTCGAGAACATATTATTAAGAATAAGGTACACATCTGTATAAAAAAACTCATCTTGGATGAGTGTGATATCATAAAGGGAACATTTATATTTTCTAAAATACTTTGCAGAGAGCAATTTGATACTTTTTTTCTTGTGTTTTACATGATATAGAAACATCAACTATATCAAACACTTATGGGCTTTGATATATTTGGAGCATCAGGAATAGAAAGTTTTTCTGTAAAGTGCCAAATAATAAATATTTTAGGCTTTGTAGGCTACATGGTCTGTCACAACCACTCAGGTTTGCCATTGTAGAGTGAAAGTAGCATAGGTAACACATAAAATGAATGACTTGTGATCATGTTCCAATCAAACTTTATGGACACTGAAATTTAAATTTCATATAATCTTACATGCTACTAAAGATTATTCTATTAGTTTCCTAACCATTTTAAAATACAAAACCATTCTTAGCTCATGGCCATACAAAAATAAGGAGAGGGTGGCTGGGTGCAGTGGCTTATACCTGTAATTCCAACACTTTTGGAAACCAAGGTGGAAGATCATTTAAGGTCAGGAGTTTGAGACCAGCTTGGCCAACGTGGTGAAACACCACCTCTACTAAAATTACAAAAATTATTAACTTCCAGTTTAATTGAATCATTAAAAAATTAATAATAAAATAAAAATACAAAAATTAGCCAGATATGGTGGTGCACACCTATAATCCCAGCTACTCAGGAGACTGAGGCAAGAGAATCACCTGAATCTGGGAGGCAGATGTTGCAGTGAGCCAAAGTTGTGCCACTGCACTCCAGCCTGGGTGAAACAGTAAGATTCTGTCTCAAAAAAAAAAAAAAGGAGAGGGTGAGATTTGGCCTGCTAGTTATAGTTTGCAAACCCGATACAGAACAGAAAAGTGGTTAATTACTTTTGCTGCCTTTATACTGTTTTGGAGAGTTGTAGTTAGAATCTTAGCATCTTCATTCAATGTCAAAGTATTTTTGTCTTGTTTATTATTAGAAATGGAAAACAAAAGATGAGACGTTCATTTCTATTTATCAAGCAGTCAAGGTACACCTGAACTGTAATCTATGTACTACTGGGCATGGTGGTTCATGCCTATAGTTCCAGCATTTTGGGAGGCTGAGGCAGGAGGATCGTTTGAGGCCAGGAGGATCACTTAGGTCCTGGACTTCAAGACCCATTGCTGCCAAAAAACATTAGCCAGGCATGATGGCATGCCTGTAGTTCCAGCTACATGGGAGCCTGAGGTAAGAAAATCATTTGAACCCAGGAGTTTGAGGTTGCACTGCGCTGTAATCATGCCACTGCACTCCACCCTGAGCAAGAGCAAGACCCTGTCTCTATGAAAATCATAATAATAAAAATAAAATATGGACCGTAACCACCACAGCACCCCATTTCTGCCAGTTCTCCAAATTGCACTGTGTTAAGTGTGATCTTATATTCAGTGATGGTGCTAGAGATCCCTTTCATTCGGTATGTATTTTAAGTATCTGCCTCCATTTCCTCCTAAGGATCGCTCAGGCTAACCACCCTCCTTAGCTTCCCAAAGTGCTGGGATTATAGGTGTGAGCCACTTTCTTTATTCCCCTTGAGGAATAAAGAAACCACAATTCCCAAATTCACTGTCTCTTTAGCCAAGTTTTAAAGATATGTAATGAACATGGTAAAGAAAGTAAAACGATTTTTTTTTTTAAGATGGGGTTTCACCAAGTTGGTCAGGCTGGTCTTGAACTCCCAACCTCAGGTGATCTGCCTGCCTTGGCCTCCAGAGTGCTTGGATTACAGGCATGAGCCACCACGCCCAGCCACGATTTTTTTTTTTTTTTTTTTGAGACCAAGTTTCACTCTCGTTGCCCAGGCTGGAGTGCAATGCCATGATCTTGGCTCACTGCAACCTCTGCCTCCTAGGTTAAAGCAATTCTCCTGCTTCAGCCTTCAGAGTAGCTGGGATTACAGGTGCTCACCACCATGCTTGGCTAAGTTTTTGAATTTTTAGTAGAGACAGGGTTTCACTATGTTGGCCAGTCTGGTCTTGAACTCCTTACCTCAGATGATCCACCTGCCTCGGCCTCCCAAAGTGCTGGGATTATAGGCATGAACCACCTCCCCCAGCCAGTAAAATGATTTTTACTCTGAGTTTTTGGTATACTTTAGTGTTTTAAGCACTAGTATAAATTTAAAATTGGATATCTGATAAACATTTTATAAGGGTCCTTCTTTCTAGTTACTTTTCCCTTGTTGTTGTTGCTTTTTTGAAACAGAGTCTTGCTTCGTCACCCAAGCTGGAGAGCAGTTACACAGTCTCTGCTCATGACAACCTCCACCTTCCAGGTTCAAGTGATTTTCCTGCCTCAGCCTCCCAAAGTGCTGGGATTACAGGCAAGAGCCACCTCGTCCAACAAGAAATCTATGTTGAAAGTAATAATTAGTGGCCAGGCAAGGTGACTCGTTCCTGTAATATCAGCACTTTGAGACCCTGAGGCAGGAGGATCACCTGATGTCAGGAGTTTGAGACCAGCCTGGTCAACATGGGGAAACCCCATATCTACTAAAAGTACAAAAAATTAGCCAGGCATGATTGCATGGGCCTGTAGTTCCAGCTACTTGGGAGGCTGAGGCAGGAGAATTGCTTGAACCTGAGTGGCAGAGGTTGCAGTTAGCCAAGATAGTGCCATTGTACTCCAGCCTGGGTGATGAGCAAAACTCCATCTTAAAAAAAAAAACAAACAAAAATAAAGAAAAAAAGATTTATCTGAGGAAATTTTCCCAATTCAGTCTATTTGGGCAGTATTTACCAATAAGTCAGAATAAAATAAATCGACACTTCTTTTGGAGTGTCTTTGTTCCCTATATGACATGGTTGTATTCTGAAGAATTCCTTGATCTATAGTTAGCTTGGGGAGGCATTTTCTTTCTTTTATTCTTTATTTTTTTTTTGAGAGGGGTCTCACTCTGTGGCCCAGGCCGAAGTACAGTGGCATGATCCCAGCTCACTCCAACTTCCACCTTCCTGGTTCAAGCGATTCTCCTGCCTCAGTCTCCCAAGTAGCTGGGATTACAGGCACAAACCACCATGCTCGGCTAATTTTTGTATTTTTAGTAAAGACAGGGTTTCACCATTTTGGCCAAGCTGGTCTTGAACTCTGGACCTCGAGTGATGTGCCCACCTCGGCCTCCCAAAGTGCTGGGATTACAGGCATGAGGCGCTCTGCTCAGTCCCCTTTTTTCTTTTTTTCAAATAGTGTCTTGCTCTGTCATCCAGGCTGGAGTGCAGCGGCTCTATCACAGCTCACTGAAGCCTCGACCTTCTGGCCTCAAGCAGTCCTCCCACCTCAGCCTCCCGAGTTGCTGGGACCTCAGGTCTGTGGCTAAGAGATGGGGTTTCACCATGTTGCCCAGGCAGGTCTCAAACTCCTGAGCTCAGGCAATCCACCCTCCTCAGACTCTGAAAGTGCTGGAATTACGGGTTGTGAGCCACTGAGCCTGGTTTTGACAAGGTGCTTTCTAATAAATCTTAAGCACATGTTTCTTTCAATTCCCTTGTTCAGGATCCTTTCGCTCTGATACTTGGCTGAATAAATAAATTATTTATTAACAATTTAGCATGATATTTAAGCCTAAGAAATCTTCAGTTCCTTTGGGACATTTTCTTTGATATTTTTCTTACATTATTTGCTCTGTTTATGTGTAAACTTATGAATAAATCTTACTTATTGCAAATGTGATTCTGATTGCTACTGATCATTAAGGAAGTAGAAGTCAATAGTGCTGTCATAGGTCTACTACTGAAAAAATTACAGTGAACATGTGTCTCAGCTGATCAGCAAGAGACAGCTATGAGCTAGACTTTCGTTTTTCCTTACATTCACTCTTCTCTGTGGTCCAATTGTTGCTTAGTCCTAAGACGGAGACAACCTGCTAGTGCATTCAGTTCTCAGAATATTGTTTTAAATCAGTGTTGAACTAATTTGACTATGCCAGGTTTTAAAAGTAATTTTTTTCTGACCAATTTAATTAGTCACTACAACAGATGTAGTTGTCACATCTGTTAGGAACATTTTAGTATGATGAATTTGTTTTTTATGGGCTTTTTAAAAGTACTGTACAAATTCATAGTTATTAACTCTCCAGTATTGCTACTCTAATCTTATTGAAGAGTGAAAAATTGTGTGGGTGTGGGTGCCTGGGTGTAAGGAGAGCTTACTTCTGTGATATGCAATCAGTCAACAGAAGGTATATCACTTTTATCTCTTACTTCACCTTACCTTAACTCTCACAGCTCTAGATTTTATTGTATTATCCAGGTGATTATTTAAAACTAACACTTCACATTTTAGAGTGGTCTATTTACTAGCTCAAAGCATGTACCTTGTGATCTAAGTAAAATAACTTTGTAGTATTTTTCCAAAGCAGTGTTTATTTTATGAGTTTGTTAAAAATGCTAACACAGAAAGCCATGTTCACTATTAAATGATTTTTCAAAAAGATAAAACATAGCTAGTTAATATTCAGTAATAGTTTTCTATAATAATTTTTGTCTGTTGCATTGGTTCTTTAGAATCAAGGTAACTATTTCTTGGGTTTTTTGTTTTGTTTTGTTTTTGAGACAGTGTCTCACTCTGAAACTGAGGCTGGAATGCAGTGGCACAATCTCGGCTTACAACAACCTCCACCTCCCAAGTTCAAGCTATTCTCGTGCCTCAGTCTCCTGAGTAGCTGGGATTACAGGCACCTGCCACCACGCCTGGCTAATTTTGTATTTTTAGTAGAGATGGGGTTTCACCATGTTGCCCAAGCTGGTATCAACCCCCTGACCTGAAATGATCCGCCCACTTCAGCCTCCCAAAGTGCTGAGATTACAGGCGTGAGCCTCTGCACCCAGCCTCAAGGTAACTGTTTTCTAGATACATTTTTTAAAAATGCTTATTATGACTTTAATCAATTTTTAGAACTGAGACTTCTGTGAAATCCTGCCAAACAAATTTAATTTTGTTCCATTCTAACTGTTTAGAGTTTTTGTACTGGCCATAGCTCCTTTATCTTCATCCCTCCACCCCTACCCTTCATAGTGTAATGAAATAAAACTGATCACCAAAGGCGTATGGTCTCTTAGACTTGCTTAGTATAACATGTAATATTTGCCCAAGCACTTTGACTTCTGTAGATCTATTCAGATTTGAGAACAATCATTTGATCTTTGGAGTCCTTGCTGGTGAGTGCAGTGTAAAGGCAAAATTTTCTATTACTTAATAGTTAAAATTTTGCATCCGGCATGGATTTTGAGGCTGTTTGCTTTTACATTCAACTATTCTGGGGATAATCTAATAACAGCACTGTTTAGGAAATTATAAAAACAATGTTTGATGGATAATTATCATTGACTAATTTCATTTGCTATTCTTTGGAGAGGCTGCATTGTGGAATTATTTTCCTATCATAAGCAATTTTATCAACTCTAGTAAAGGCCCACATCTTCCAGAATAAGCCCCTTTATCCAGATTTTATACAAATGTAATCTTTGCATACCAGAGAATAGCAATAGACTGTGAAAATGACTCTGAGTTTCATGGAGAAGCTAGTGAGCTCTATAAGGATATATTTCAAGTTAGAGACTAATAGCACACAACCTTTAAAAAAAAAAAAAGATGAGGAAGGGTACATCCAATAGAGAAAAATTAGAATGAAGAGAAATGTGTTGCATGATAAAGAATGACACACTAGGCTCACGCCTGTAATCCCAGCACTTTAGGAGTACCAGGCGGGCAGATCACCAGATCAGGAATTCAAGACCAGCCTGACCAACATGGTGAAACTCCATCTCTACTAAAAATACAAAAATTAGCTGAGTGTGGTGGCGTGTGCCTGTAATCCCAGCTACTTGGGAGGCTAAGGCAGGAGAATCTCTTGAACCTGGGAGGCGGGGATTTTAGTAAGCTGAGATTGTGCCACTGCACTCCAGCCTGCGTGACAGAGCGAGACTCGGTCTCAAAAAAAAAACACTAGAGGAAAGGTGAAATTTAACATCACCTTTTGCTAACTCATGGTTACTCTGTTGTTAGTTTATCCCCACCTTGAGTGTTTGTGATTCTATTGTCCTTTTTTAAACTTCCAAGTGGCCTGAGTTTGCCACTGAAACTACATAAAACTATTGTTTATCAAGCTTTTGGGGGTGGGAACCAGGGGATGTTTCTCTTTTCAGTAATTATTGTTCTTCTGTCTCATTTGTTTCCTTTTTTGGCTGAAGAATGGGCTTCTACTGCTTGACTTGTCATCTTTATGTGCTGTTTACACATGGCTTTTGCAAAAGAAGCCATTGCCATATCTGATTTATCATTTATTGCAAGTGCCCATTTAAAAGCATTTGTTTTAACTTAAAAAAATTGCTTTAATCATCAGGCTAATGTTCCTACTGATTATTGTACAACCTAGGGAAATACCGATATAATTTTTCAAAATAAGAAATTACAAATATTTATATTAATGTATAAAGACATATGTTTTGCTCTTAAGAGGTTTTCCCCTAGGCACTTAAAGCCATTCTTTGCTGAGACTTAACCTTGTCCTGTTTTGTTAAAGAGAAGAATATAGAAACAAGCACTCGCAATTAACTGATTTTATCAGGATTGAATTCGACATTTTTTAGTTTGCATGTTGCAGACCGTCTGGGGGTGTTACTTAAATACATTGCTGATAACTTAAGTGACTATAATATTTATTGTTTACTTTAGTTAAGAACCAGGAGCTGGACTCTTCTGCTGGGTATCTTCCTTCTGTGCTTAGCAAGATAACCTCGATTCCTGCTGGTTCTGTGGGCATTTGTACTGCAAAACATTTCTTACTGGGTTTGCAAAGCAAGGGTAATGTGCTCTGTGGGTATATGTGTGTCTGTGCACCCCTCACCCCTATTTCCACTGCCATCTCTCTTCACTTTTTTTACTTATCAAAACTTATTTTTCTCAGTCTATCTAAATCTTATTAAAACGTTTAATGAATCCCTTTTCCCAGACATATAAAAACAGTAATAACAGGTTTATGTATTAAAATTTCCTCAGATATTTTCATTTCAGCAAGCCACAAAGTCATTACACAGATGATGGTGACTGATTACAATATTGGTCATATCATTAAGCAGTACTTACTTACAAGGCCAGCCTTAAGTCTCATTTTACTTGACAGAATGGCAAAATAAAATGAATGTGAAAAACAATGGTATAGTTTAATAGATGTAGTAGATTGGGATTACATTGTGTAAAGTGACTGCAGAAGTATATGCTAAATCTCAGACTCTCTTTTTGAGGAAAAGTTAGTCATTTCAAAAAGCAAATGTGTGGGTAAAAGCAATATAAAAAGATAAGTTTTGAGGCTTAGAAACAGTAATAAATCTCTGACATTTTAAAATGGTTGCAAATTGTGTGACTAATCAGAAATATTCTATTTTCTTTTTTAACAGACAGTATGTATCCCAAAACTATCCATTATAAACGACCTGTCTGCTGTTCTTCCTGAGGATCTTGGTTCAGGAATATCTATGAAATATCCTCATAGTGTGCCTATTTTAATTCTTCTGTCACAATTTCTTTCTTGAAAGTTATGATGTTCTCTAAAATATAATGAGGACCTGTTTGAGAACTTGCTAATAAAAGCTGAAAGGAAGCCCAATTTTAGTTAAATCCATAGGCTTAGCCCGCTTCAGGTGTTCAAGAAACGCCATGTAGGGACTTCGTGTTTTTATTGCTTTAGTTCATGTTTCCTTACAAAAAGTAATATTTTAAGGAATGTAAATCATTCTGTATATGAATTATGATAGTATCAATCTATAGTGTATAGTACTAACCTAAAATTATTGTTTAGCTCAGTGTGAGGGATACTTTGACCTTTAATATTTTATATTCCCATTGCTATCATGATCATGACTTTGGCAAGAGAGTGATAATTTCCTTTGAGTATCTTCACTATTTCAGAGGTAGCTACCTAAGAAAAATGTTTACTAAGGAATTAAATCACAGATAACCACTTTTCTTTTCTTTCTTTGTTTTTCTTTTTTTTTTAGTCTCGCTCTGTCTCCTAGGCTAGAGTGCAGTGGCTTGATCTTGGCTCCCTGCAACCTCTGCCTCCAGGTTAAAGCAATTCTCCTGCCTCAGCCTTCCAAGTAGCTGAGATTACAGGCACTCGCCACCATACCCGACTGTTTTTTTATATTTTTAGTAGAGACAGGATTTCACCATGTTGGCCAGGCTGGTTTCCAACTGCTGACATCAAATGATCTGCCCACCTTGTGCTCCCAAAGTCCTAGGATTACAGGCGTTAGCCACCTCGCCTGGCCAACAATCACATTTTAAATCGCGTTCCTGATAATATCCCTGCTACCTCTAAAGCAGAAAATATTGAAATATAATGAAGCTACAACTTAAATATGAACTATTTCTTTTCCATCAGATATACAGATATTTTAAATTCATCATCATTGACTTTGACTTTTTTTTTTTTTTGAGACAGAGTCTTGCTGTCCCAGGTGCCAGGCTGGAGTGCAGTGGTGCAATCTCAGCTCACTGCAACTTCTGCCTCCTGGGTTCAAGCAATTCTCCTGCCTCAGCCTCCCGAGTAGCTGGGACACCACCTGGTGCACGTCACCACGCCCAGCTAATTTTTGTATTTTAATAGAGACGGGGTTTCACCATGTTGGTCAGGATGGTCTCGATCTCATGACCTTGTGATCTGCCCACCTCGGCCTCCCAAAGTGCTGGGATTATAGCATGAGCCACTGCGCCTGGCCACCTTTTTATTTTTCACCCCAAGTTTCTAATCTCCACCTCCAATGCTCAAGTGATCCTCCCATCTCAGTCTCCTTGATAGCTGGGACTGTAGGCACATGCCACCACACCTGGCTAATTTTTCGTATTTTTGGTAGAGATGGGGTCTTGCCACATTGCCCAGGCTGGTCTCGAACTTCTGGACTCAAGTTAGCCACTCGCCTTGGCCTCCCAAAGTACTAGGATTATAGGCATGAACCATCTCGCCCAGCTGACTTTGAGTTTCAAAACCAACTGACTAAATTACCAAGGTTTAATATTATATTCCCCTTATAAAAGAGAACTTTTATGCTACGTACCAGTTACTAACATAATTCTTTCCTCTAACTACTTTTTTCTTTTAGAAACCTATTCAGGATTATTTTTTACTGTGTTTAAAAGACTTGGAAGATGTTAAAGATTTTTTAGCACTTTTTTCATAAATTCTTTACTAGACTCTTCAGGTTATAAAGATCATTTTACTACTGAAACCAGATACAAGAGCTTGCATAAGAAAGTAACTTTTTATTACAAAAGTAATACATACTCATTTTACAAAGGTTAGAAAATGGAGAAAAACCGGCCGGGTGTGGTGGCTCATGCCTGTAATCCCAGCACTCTGGGAGTCCAAGGTGGGCAAATCACAAGGTCAGGAGTTTGAGACCAGACTGGTCAACATGGTGAAACCCCCATCTCTATTAAAAAAATTTGCTGGATGTGGT